TGGATCGCAGGCCCATGGCTTGAGAATCCGGAGTCTGGGACCTGGGCTGGGTGGTGGTGGTGGTCGAGGTGAAGTGGGAAGAAGAAGTTGAGTCTTTGAGAACGCGGATGACAGTCGCGCGTTTCCTGCTGCGCTGCATGCCCGGTTCTGCCAAACAGTCAATCAATCAACGCGAAACCTCCCCTCCAAAAGTAGTGTACAATTAATTGTTAGCAAGGGGGTGCCTGGAGCTCTCAGCAGGTACCGCTGTGCCGATAAGATAAGCCCCACACTTTGGTACCCCTGTAGGCACATGGGCGGCGGTTGGACCGCTGACGTCTAGCGGATCAGCCGCCTGTGTTACAGCGTCGCATCAGCGGGAGCTCCATCGGTGGAACGTCCAACTTCACACGTCCATCACTTCGGCGGCTTCCGAATCCTCTCTTCACCTAACTCCCCTTCCTTCAACTTCCCTTGCCTACCTAGACGGAGCTTCACCGCCGAGGCCATCTACCTACCTACATCTACTGAGAACAAGGGGCGGATGTAAGTGGGCGCCAACGGACTTTACTTGACGACTTCGGACGTACCAACGATTCGCGAGACGAGACGTGGGCAGCCGATCCGATCTACGGAGTTACAGCGCTAGACGCACATCAGTAAAAGAAGAAGACGACGACGACGACGACGAGACTATGAACCGACTATAACCAACACACTTGTCGGGTCAACTCTATATACACAGTACTCAATACACAGGTAGCAACCATGGACGACTATCCGCGCGGCAGCTTGGATCACAACATCCCCTTCCTCCTCACCCTCGGCGTCTCTCCTCCCAACTCCAACTCAGCCCACAACCCCGAATTGGGCAAGACTCTCAAGGACCAGGCCATCGAGGTCCGATCCGATCTTCCTACTCTCGACCTTCCTCCCGCACAAGCTCTACTACACTACATCCAAGAGCGGGATGCCTCGAACCTACCATGCATCGCATACGAGCACCAGCTCCGCTACCGGTTCCGGGTCAAGTCAGCAGAGAGGGTGAGCACTCTCTAGCCGTATGATATCTAAACTATCTATACCTTACATCAGCTCTAACCTACGTTATTCTCTTCAGTCCTTCCTGCTGCCTCCTCGCCGCGCCCGCTTGCCCGAAGGGATAGAAGCACCTCCGGGTGCCATCCTCCATTCACCCTTCTCGCCTCTGACTCCGATATCCCCTCTGTACCCCGACGGCCTGATCGATGCGCAATGGACGCTGAAACACCAGGAACTGATCCCCAGTGTCGTGCTCTGCTTCTATAATCTCGTCTCCGATCCAAATCAGTCCACCCTAAGCGATAACCACATCAAGTCCGACGTGAACAAGTTGAGGAACCTGCTCATCCAATCAGGCCACAAGATCAAGCTCGCTATTGTATTTCTGTCCGACCCTTCTGGCGACCACACCGACTACCTCCAAGATCGCATCGAGATTATTCGCAGGGGCTGTGCGCTTGACCCCAAGTCGGTCTTCCTCATGCCCCCCAACGAGAACCACGAAGATCTTGCGCGCATGGCTGAGAACATGTTGATCACATTATACGGCGCTTCGATGGAGTATTACAAAGAACTGGGTAGACATTCCCGAAAGAAGAGAGGAAGGGGAGTTGCTCCGCCGCCAACCGTGCCACCAACAACAGGCACTTCCCAAACGCTTTCGCTGGCAGGATGGAATGTCCGTTATGACTTCAAGTCAGCTGTACTGGCCGAATTCCGCCTGGAAATGGAGAATGCTCTGCGTTCCTACGAACAAGCATACGAGAACCTGCTAAGCTCCGAGGTTGTCGAACTAATACCAAGTTGGAGTCCTCGCTGGAACGAGGCGCGGCTTCTTGCTGACGTGATAGCCATCCGCTCCATTCGCTGCTTGTTATGGGGCGCTCAGAACAGCGCGGCCGTTCGCAGGTGGCAATTTCACCGCGAAAGGATGGCGGATCTTGTCGAGCGCCTTGGAAGAGGCACCAGCAACTATGGGTGGGAGGCCTGGCAAGCACGTTGGGCAATCGTCATGGCGAACTTGATGGAAAAGGCAGGCATCCCAGAGCTTGATCCTGCTGAGATGCGACTCTACCTCAACCCAGAAAAGAACATTATGGGGGAACGACTACAACCCTGGGAGTTCCTTCACCATACAGGTTATTGGTATCGTCTGGCTTCCAGGCACTTGTATGCCCGGAGAGCCCGGGCTCGTGCGATGCCTGAAGACGATAGGAGACCACCAGGCTCTTCTCCGGCCTCTCACCTTGCGAGCAGGGGCTTCATATATGACACCTTCATGTGTCCAGAACCCCACGAGGAGTTTCCGCTGGAGCACATGACCTATAAAGGGGTGGATCATAACGGCATGATCATCGACTGCCTATCACGAGCACTTCACGAGTTTTTGCAGCGGGATCAAGCACGGCTGGCTGCTGAGTTGTCTCTAGAGTTAGCCAGGGAACTGAGTCTTAGGCAGGAATGGGCCAAGGTTGTCGAGTTGCTTCGGCCTATCTGGCAAAACATGCCGTTCAGGAAGGAACGCTGGCCAGCATTGGCCGAGGAAGTTGGCTGGGCTCTAAGGGCAGCCGCTTCGAAGACTGGTGGTCTTGGTGATGTCGTTACCATTGACTGGGAATTGCTGGACCGAGGTAAGATTCCAAGAGTTCTTAGTGACTTCGTCTGCTGATGGTAGAATATAGGCTTCACGAAACGCAAAAACTGGCAATATGACATCACAAAGTCCCTACAACCAATAACGCCGGATCCCAAGCCTCTTGTCAATATCGCAGATGGCCAGATCATCCCGCCTATTTCAGCTACCTTTGTCTTCAGAGACGAGGAAGGGAAAGCAGGCCAGACCACCCGTGCCCAACTGTGCCTCCGTTCCAATGCCCATGTCGAATCCGCTCCCGTACCATTCAGCAGGATCGAGGTCAAGTTCAATGGCAGCATCAACACTCTCGTACTAAGACATCAAGTACAAGAAGAAGAAGGCAGCAAGCGACAAAAGCATGGTAACATTGTTTTATGTCCGGTACCCCTTGAGGATATCACCCCTAGCGATAGAGAGCCAACGACAGAAGACTCGGCTGAGGATGATGAGAGAGTAACTAAATTGCAAGGCACCACCGACCTGACTCTCTCACCTGGTCATACTCTCGTCCTCGTTATGGACATACCACTCCGCGAACAAGGCGAAGTAACCACTCTTTCGCTCACCGCGTCACTAGAGACCGAGTCCTTTGACCTCCACCAGTCTCTCAAACTCCGGGATATGCCCAACATGACCCACATTTGGTATCCCACCCCCTCAACCAGGAAGCGCATCACCCGGCCGTTCAGCCCTCTGTCTCTCCGAATCCTTCCAAGGCCTCCCAAGATGGAGATCAAGAGCGAGATCAAGGAACAGTACTACACCAACGAGGCGATAACACTCGACTTTGACATCTACAACGCCGAAGACGTCGAGGCTCCTTCCAAGTTCGATGCGCTCTTATTCTGCGACGAGGATGAAGCGTCATTGACGGCCCCATCTTTCACAGTGGAAGTCGTCTCAGAAGAACAACAAACAAAAGAAGAGGAGGAGGTGAACAAGAAGAAATCGTCGACAAGCAGCTCCTCCGGTCGCGAATCCAAGGTCTCCTCTTACTTCCTCGGCGACATCCAGCCAAGCACCACCACCACCGTCCGCCTGCATTTCCCACCCATCGAGCGACCCAGCCGCTACGAGTTGACTCTGCGCGTAGTCTACCACCTGTCCACCAATCCCGGCACCACCATCACCCAAACCGCCATCTTCCAACTCAACGTGCTCAACCCCTTCGAAGCCAACTACGAGCTCCTCCCGCGCGTCCACCCCGACCCCTGGCCTTCCTTTTTCGACGCCGAAAACATCCAACCTCTTTCCCTCCCATCTCAAGCAGAAGAGGAGGACAACGACGCAGTAGTGCCCTACAAAGGCCTCCACCAATCTTGGTCTCTCCTCACCCGCTATGCCTCCTTCGCCTCCGAAGATCTCAAGGTCGTTGACGTAGACGTCAAAGTCCTCCGCCAGCCACAGTCACAGCCCAGCCAGACGAGCTCTCCTGAGCCAATGACCTGCCTCATCACCCGCCACCACGACGACGACTCAATCCTTCCCGCCGTCGAAAAGGGTGGTGGCCACCTAATGAAACCGCACACCATCGAAACCACCTCGTTCGATATCGTCGCGCAAAAATTCAGTCTCGACGATCGTGGTCCGGCACCACTGGACTTGGCCATGGTCATCCGATGGAAACGGCTTCCAACATCTCCATCTCCATCTCCATCTCCAAAAGATACTGAAGAAGAAGAAACAGTAATAAACACCACCACCCTCCCCTGCCCACGCTTCTCCCTCTTCGGCATCGAGCCTCGCGTGCTCGCCCACGTCACCTACCTCGACACCTATAACCCAGACTCTTTTACTCCCCTGATCCTTTTAAGGGTAATCATCGAAAACGCCTCCAACCACTTCTTGACGTTTGGTGTATCGATGGATACCTCGAGTGAATTCGCCTTCTCGGGCCCCAAATTGTCGGCGGTGCCCGTGTTGCCTGTCAGTAGAAGGGAAGTGGAGTATAGGCTTTTGCCTACTAGCCTGGGACCTGGATCGGGCGAGACGGAAGAGAGGGAGGAAAAGAAGAAAAAGGACAAGGCAGGTGAACAGGGATACTGGATCAAGCCGGGCTTGACTGTGAGAGATAAGTACTTCCAGAAGGTGTTGAGGGTGATTCCTGCGTCTGAGGGGGTGAGGGTGGATGCGAAGGATGGAGGGTTCTTGGTTTGGGTACCTACTGGTGGGGGACCTGATGATGGTGATGTGTAGATAATGTGGTGTTTTAAGGATCAATTCGTAAGGGAGAGAAAAGCAAGTCTTCGGCGATTAAATCTAGGGTAAGTATGAGCGAAAACCTGTACAAGTAATAGACTTGCGCATGATATCCGTCCTATCCAACGGGCTCATAGTTAACAACTCAACGAGTGACCTCTCTGTCCTCCGTACCAAGCTCACAGGCCCCATGTGAGGTATCTAGCTCTCGGGGTGGACTCGATGCGTCGAGCTCCCAGCGCTCATTGATACCTCCTCCACATGCCAATTCATCTGGCGGGGTGTACATCTCCGTTGCCGGGCCTTCTGTAGGAAGCTCTCCTTTGAGTTCGAGGGAAGGGGAATGCTTCAGTGCGTTACCATTACTCTGACCAGGTTCAAGCTCTTCGTCGGATGGTGAGGGCTTCGATCTCTTCCGCCAAAGGCAATAAGCCAACCCAGATAGTATACACAGAATAACGGCACCGCCCACCACTCCCCCCGCAATCGGTCCGGCTTTGTTAACAGACGACTGCTGACCCGAGTCTGGGCCAGTGGCGGAAGTAGCAATGGAAGTCGGGGCCGTTCCCGAGGTCGTCGCGTTAAACGAAATGGGGTTCTTCAGGAACATCCTCTTCACCTCATCAGACGACCACGATAGCGCAGACAGATTCTTATCTTGATACCATTCCTCCACAAACTTGGGGGTCCTGTAGTCCTCTGCGTCGGCATCGTAGTTTCCATCCTTGCTCCAGACGAGATCAGTCAAGTCAAAGATGCCGAGGCCCTGGGGTAAAGGATCTTTGTCCCAAAGGGACTTGTTCTGACCGTGGCCGCCTACCACCAGCATTTGGCGCTTCCCTACTACGACGCAATTCTGGTTGTTGCGTGGCTCGACTGAATGTGCATCTGTTTTGAGCCAGACGAAGCCTGGGAGGCTTAGGATGTAGATGTCGTCATAGAATTCCGTGAAGGCCTGGTTCGCTCCGCCGTAGATGAAACTACGTGGAGTAGAGTCGACAGTAAGTTAGTTTAGGGTCGAAGGCTCAGAGGGACAGATATTCCGAATGGCAAGCTTGACATTAAACAGAAATGGGATATTTTTGGTGTTTTCACTTACAGTTCATAGGTTCCAGCCGGACTGGCAACACCCACCATACAAAAAGTCTCCCTCTCCGTCGGCGCATATCCCACCGTATTCTGCCATCCCCACTGCCCAGTCTTAGGATCATAAAAAGTGATATTGTTGAAATCCAGAATTCCTCCACCGATCTTTCCTCCCAAGACCAGCATCAAGCCATTGGAGCCAAACTGAGGGACAAAATGCGCGCGACCATCAATCAGCGTACCAAGCGGGGGCATCACCACGCTGGTGTCGGTCCTTGAAAAGGTTCTGCTCTTCATGTCGTAAGAAACCATACCTGGAATCGGGGTGCGATACCAGTGCTGGGGATCCGTGACGGGGGAGGTATTGTTGGAGTCCGGGTCTATCTCGATTGATGTCATGCCGCCTATTACAAAAGCTACACCGCCGCCGGAAGAATCGTGGGTGGCTGCGAATGCTGCTTTGTGGGTCAAGTTGAGCTTCTTTAGAACGTCTGGGTTTGAAGGCCGTTCCAACGACCAAGTGCCGCCACCTGTGCCGTCGACCCAAAACTTCCAGATCCCGTCCTTTGTGATATTGTTCATGTTGATCATGTACGGCGCTCGTCCTCCATAGATGTAGAAGGCGTCGCCACTGGGGTCGTTCCAGATTGCCTGGTCGGAAAGCGCTACTGGTCCCTTTTTGGGAGTCGCCTTGATCTCGACCGTCGATGCGGTCCATGATCGTGACATGTCGATGGAGAGAGTCGAGTTACAGGGATCGGCGGGGACGTGGCCAGGTTGTTCCTCGCCATTTACCAACTGGCTTATCTCGCCTCCGTCGATATAAACATAGTTTCCCAGTACCGTTGCTTAAGAATTAGTACAGAGGTTAGCAACAATACATACCACACTATATTTGTCAGGGCGAATATGATGGGAATTGATCACCTACCTCGTGCATAGCTTCGACGAAGAAATCTGTTGGCAGGTGGATCATCCAGATACTGCTGCTCCTGTCCGAAAACACACGAGAAAAGAAGGGAGGTGATCAAGATCAGACCAAAGCCACGAAAAGAGATTGTAGAGTAAATGCACATCGGATATGAGCGGTAGATCATCTCCATGGCTGTACGCAATGATGGAAAATGGTAGGTGAGTCCGGGTTCAAGTTGAGAAGATTTAATGATCAGAGATGGATTGAACATGAAGTGTTGTGGTCACGATAGGAAAGAAGAAAAAAGAAGGGGGGGGGGGGGGGGGGGGAAGAATACAGAGTAGAAGACAAGTCATCAATGGGTGTCTTTAGGTCGTACCAACCTCCCAGGACCGAGTTTGAGACACTAGAAGTCTAGACTCTCTCTTGTGCAACAACCAGGACGTACGAGGCAGAACGAGGCTTTGAATTGAGGCATCCTGCAGGCACTTAACTCGGATCTTCATTTTCAGGTTGCTCTCTGCCATTTGTGCCGGTACCACCGCAGCGTTGGTGCTTAATGTTGGTCGGTAAGTGGCTGAACATAATGCCCCATGAATGGAGGAGACCTTTTGGAGAAATACGGGTACCCGATGACATGGTATGTAGCGGAAGAGTAAGGTTTGGCGAGGAAATATAACAGGTCCGCCTCGTCGTTGGAGGGTGGAGGTTGTGAAACTGAGATCAGATGTAACAAGGAAGGAAACTAGATGTTCCTCGTCTTCGATTTATGGAAAATGCTTTTTGCTGGACGAGTCGAAAGATCAGAGAAGACAAATTTTGTCGAAAGGAGACATGTCACTTCAGGAGTGCAACCCGGTCGATGGCTCTTTTCTTCTAGGAAATGCCATTGTGGGCTGTGCTCTTTCCAAATCCAAACATAACCTCTGCTTGGGTAGTGACTTCTCTCTACGAAAATCATGTGGCAACGTAACCATATATGAGTGGAAAGCGCGACATGACAAGGCGTGAGTGTCTCGGAAGGTGTTGGCAGGACGCAAGAAGCTATCAAACACCACAAAGAGCGGTCATACGTACTTCGCAAGACACTGATTGATTATGAAGTTGGAAAGCATAACTGGTGATGATGAAGCCGTCAACTCGATTCCAGCTGTGGGCGACACAGCTATTTCTTCTGTTAGTTTCTTCGAGTTTCTTCTTGCATCTTTCTGGATCTCCATCATAACGCTGACCATCTTTCTGGGGGAGGGGCAGAGGAGAAGGAATACCATAATGGATTATTTGCTTTGTGATCTTTTGCCTAGTTTTGTTTTGTCACCATAAAGAAATAATCAGGACGCCTAACAACAGGAAGAAGCTTCGAAACGCACCGAAAATTGTTCTATAAGAGCAGAACTCCTTGTAACTTCTCCCCTCGTTCGCTGAATGCATTCCAAGAACCTGTGACAAACTCATAAGCATCTCATTGACCTTCATCAAGTGTTACGCCGGCCTTCCGAATATCTGACTCGATGGGTAAAGAAAATCAACCATGCCATGCCATCAATCAAAGGCTAGGAACACGTTCAACACACTTTCTAAGAACACCCCAAAAATGCCTTTAGTTCAAGCCATAACCTCCTCCTCAACTGATTCTTTCCCTGGCGGAACGACCTTCACAAACCTCCAAACCGTGCCCGCATCCTCATCAGCATCCCAAACCACAAGTACTTGCGACCCCTCCGCAAGGCTCTCCGGCTTCACCTGTACCTTGACCAGCTTCCGGAATCGAGGCGCATGATATGGGCAACCCGTGTTCCGATGAAGATGATCAGACGGCGTCAACCTCCGCGGCTGTACAAGAAGTGAATACAGTGCGACTGTCTGAACCTGCGGCTCTGACTCCACCTCACACTTTCCAACATCCCCAAGGTCCTCAATATTTCCTTCTGCTGTCCGGCACTCTTTGACTATAATTTCATCCTTGATTATGTTTTCGTCTACTCGTTCAAAGGCCTCAGAACCATCCACTTCCCCTTTTGAGAGCATCGCGCTTGAAGCTATATCCCCGGATTTCAAGCTCAAAAAGGCAAACTTCTCTGATATCCCAGGCCGACTGCTTAAGCATTGAATGTTTCCCCATCTCGGATTTTCGTTCCCGTCAGTGTCGTGGCCGAGAAACCTCCCAGTGGCGGCGTTGCGGAAGCTAAGCCAGTTGTCTGCCTCCACGCATTCCCAGTGCCAGTTGGTCTTGCCTTCGAGCAGCAATGGGTGTGATATACCGGGTTTCGGCTCGGGGACGCGATGTAGAGTCGGTTCGCCCTTGATTATGCTCAGGCCGCGGCTGGTAGGGTGGTGGAGGATGATGTATGTGATGCCGGGTGTTGGGCAATCGCTGCGGCCTTCGAAGTTGGAGAAGACGGATTGAGGATCGGGCTCTGTATTTGGGGCGTGAATGTCTGTCACTGTTTCGGCGAGTTTGGGAGGAGACAAAGAAAGTTCGGAGTATTCGGCGGAGCATTCGTGAGATGTAGGGGACGTGGGGTATGTGGGTGACTGATATTTGATGGGGCTATGAGGTCTTAGAGATCCAACAGGAAAGGACGGAGATCGGGTGTTGTCGTGGTAAACTTTGTTGTAGATGAGACATTGCTGCCGGTTGCTAGACGATGGCTTTGGCCTCTTGTTGTCTTGATCACCGCCACTGAACAGACCTAACAGACCTATTACCCATAAGCCTAGACGGTTGCTAGACAATGGCTTTGGCGTCTTATTGTCTTGACCACCGTCACTGAACAGACCTATCACCCATAAGCGTAGACGGTTGAACATCTGGAATGAGTATAAATACCGAATGATGTAAAATAGAGGTTGAAGAAAGAGAAGAAATCGAGGACAAGCCAGGTGAAAAGCTGTTTTTATATCATGAGGGGAGATCAATGCGACCTCTTCCAAATCTCTGTGATCAGGTTTGGCAGACATAGCGCTGGATAACGTGGAACCGACAATGCAAACTAACTGCCCGAATCCTGCAGGTAAAGGTGCCTTTGGGGACTGCAATCAAGCTGACAGCTCAGCAGCTGCTTCAGTTGTCACCGAAACGGCCGAATCGCAGAGTCAAGAGACAATGCCTTTTTCACGAAGTCCGATTTGCTTAAATGGTATAACAATCATCTGTAGGATGCTCAAGTCCGGTGCAGGTTGCATCAACGGGAGTCGACCGCACCGACACACTAACAGATCAGTGACAATACTGAACGCGTTGAACCTGAAGCAGGCACCTATAAGGTTGTTGAGTTCTAGGAGTTAAGAAGAGTGTCAAAAGTGCCATTCCTTCGTTATTCGAGTTGGCATCAAGACTCCAGAGTGTTGATTGTACTTACTGACCTGTGATAGATATTTAGCTGATCGAGTGTTTGTAAGTTTTCTCACATGAAGACTGCGAGTTGAACCAAATAGAAAATTGGTGATTTGCTTCAAGTTGATTCTGAAGAAGAGCGAGGGGCCAAAATAATTTAAAAAATAAAAAATTGGAAGGGCTGGGTTCCATCGTTACCACATCTTCTCGCGGCCAGCCAGGCTCCCAAGGGAAGGAACCATCCAGCCCGCTGGAACGTGGGAACTGCTTCCTTGCTCAGGCAGCCGGATTCCTTCCCCTTCGTGATGGCGTCCAATCGCTAGATTCCTGCTCGTCAACTCCGAGAGACAGGTGCGTGCCAGGCGTACATCCTTGGTTCGGACATGGGCCCTCAAGTACATGCAGCAAGACGTAGGCGTTGCAAGGAAGTTACCTGACTTCGCCCCCGACTTTTCCTTCCTCGCCTTGTTCACACGCACATAGAGCATTAACTGCACACAATAAAGAAATCCTGGAACTATCCTGCCTGTTCATGAACTCGTCATCCATAATGCCGTCGCAAACGCCTCGCCAACAAAAATGTAGATGTCATCGTTTTCGTCCGGTCTTGTCGGCAACATGACTGGTTCTGGTTGCGGACAGCTTGATTGATGAAGTTCGCATTGCTCGTACACGACGTAGATCTCTGCTTTCGTGTCGGTAGAGGGGAGACTTGGGGAGGTTAAAGCTGGGATCATGGCAATCCTCCATAGCGTGCTTGACCTCAGTGTCTAAGCCGCACTTCGTAGTTATCAACCGTGAGAACCTCGGAGTCCAAGGGTGTTCGGAAGAACAGTACCTAGGTACAACTTGAAGTGATGTTCCAAACTTGCTGAGACAGAAGGGAACGTAATGCCCGTCCATGAGGAGTCTTATATGATCATCGTAAACCATTATACTGCAGTCAGTAGGTACCCATGAAGGTAGTGGGAACTGCCTATCCACGCCATCCTCCATTTCCGTGACTCTCCGCTTGGGAAACTGCGTCAAGCTAAGTAAGAACTTTGAGGTGTTCATGGCATGGTGTTTCGCTGCGCCGCACAGCAAATCGGGCAAAGTAGCCTGCGTTTAATCTCGCCGTCGAAAGCATTGAACCTCAAGCTCCAATTACATTGGTTTCCAACATGTGAAGAGTTTTCCCTGAAAAAGTGTGATCGAGTGTCCGAAGGGAAGGTGCCATGATGTTGGAGACTTCTGGTGAGCTAGGTAGTTGCGCTCAACCCTAACCCCTCATGCCTCTGGTCTCTCAAAGCGAACCGGATGATATCGGCCAATTGCCTCCACGTGACAGCGAGTGCACAATTCCCGTCCAATCTGCATTGCCCGCGCCATCCAGTCATAGGCTCATTCACAACTCTCCATCCAATCAATCGATCGCAAACTGCCGACGACAGCTGCCCAGTCGCAAACTGCGACCACTCAACAGAGTCAACAGTCCACCACCACAACTGCCTCACTCCTTGCAACTCCATCATCATCAGGCAACTCCGCCCGCTCTGCCCGGCCCCATATCATCACGCACGCGGACACCCAAAGTGTGGAGATTTTGCCATCCGCCCTTGTAGCGTTCGCAGTTCCCGCCTCCCGTTCTGTCCCAAGAACTGGCACTCCACCTATCTGCATCAGTGCCCCGGATTCCCCGTTCCAGTCTCAGTCAATTGAGTAATCGAGGGGTTCAGTTCAGTTCAGTTGTACCTGTCATCAACAACCTAACCTCCAATTTTCCAATCCAACTTCGACTAAAAGAGAACGAACTTACTCCCCTCGAGCGGATTCGCTTCCTTTTCCCAACTTCAACAGCGACACTGATCTAACCCACTTCGCCGACTGCGCAACACTATACAACCCAACAAAATCAAAATGCCAGCCCCCACGATTCTTCGCGCTGGCGCCCTCGCTTCCCGGCGCGCATTCAGCACCACCCGCGCCGTCCGCAGCGGCGGTGCCCCGCACTACGACCCCCCCAGCGGCTGGCTCTTTGGCGTCAGGCCGGGCGAGGAGTACAAGAGGGAAGGATGGGAGATCCCCTTCTTTTATGGGTTCTGCGGCAGCTTTGCTGTCGCTACGATTGCGTATGCTTTCAAGCCTGATACTTCGTAAGTTGCATTTATTCTTCGCTTGCTTCGTCTTGTTGCGGTAGACCTGGGGGGCTGGGAAAGGAAAAGGCGAGGACGCAGGAAGAGAGGTGGGATTGAGTTGATGGATGTGGAGGGGACGGGACGGGATCGTGAAATAGTGATGGGAAGGGGGATATCAGTGACTGCGAAGACTGCGAAGGAGGGTTTCGAGGACCGAAAGCATATGAGCTCTTCGGTTCGGGGTGGGGGAGCTTGCGCTAGGAAACAAGTCTGGCTGTGTGGTCTGAACAACACATGCTAACATTACCCATCAACAGCATCCAAACGTGGGCTCTCGAAGAGGCTCGTCGCCGACTAGAGGCCGAGGGTATCCTCGAGGATCCTCATCCCGAGAAGTAAACGTCAAAGTGCCATGTTGTATCTGCGCCCATCAAGCGGTTATTCGTCAGCATCTACAAACATCAAGGAGAACAACAACACCAATCCAACGATTACATTTTTTTCAGAATTTGGGATACTAGGAAATAGTCGAGTCGAGCCGTGAAACACTCAAGACCAACATCGATAAAACAGTCAGCAACAAAAACAATGAAAGTAGGGACCGGTTACACAGGACGGCCTTTTTTCACCACCACCACCACAAGTCTAGACGGATGAATGAGGGAGGGAGTTGAAAGCCATAAGGGATTCGGGAAGACATGGTGCGAGTTGAGCGAGGGAGAGCGGGAAACGGGGATATTTAACGGAGTATCACTTTCTGGGCTAGGCTGGGCTGCACTGCACTGCTTAAACGATGGAATTGATCATTTGAGAAAGAAACATAGATCCCCTTCCCCAACCCAACTTATCCTTCTCAACTGTATATCATGTTGCCCCTTTCGTCAGGGTGGTAGGTTGCTTTGTCGGTTTGTAATGTTATGTTTGCTTTTCTGTTGTACTAAAAGGGGGTTGTTGGGTGAATAGACTGATGATGCGGATTTATTCTTGATAGACGGTGGTGGATTAGTATTTGAAGCCGTGTTCTCCTCTTCACCACTACAGACCTCATGAAAGTTTAACTGGTAAGTGAGTACGTGGAACTGGTGATGGTGATTGTTTCAAGACGACCTCGAGCGAAGCGAGGTCCCCTCCCCGGATGGGGCCGCCGGAGGCATAACTTTTACAGCCAGAGCAGCTCTCCCAAGAATGATCAAAATGCTGAGGACCTCGACTTTTGCATCACCGGTACAAGCACAAGGTTGGGTTACCACGGGAATAGCTTTGTGGAATGGAAATAACAGGCTTCTTCATGAACTGGCTGAGTATCCATCTACCGCAAATCCCATGTCACAACCCATAAAGTATATACAGGAAAAACTTTCCGGATCTAACTGTTGCGTGAAAAAATCTTTGGCTTAAATCATTTTTTGTCTTCCATCGTAACCCAGTTGGCTCAGGTATCTAAAAATTTACTCGCAAACATAGCTCCACTCATGCTCCTCATCACCATACTGCCTGGCCTCCATCCAGTTCTTGACCTGCATCGTAAGCTCACCGCTCTCCTCCTCGGGCTTAAGACCGCAGTTGACGAGCTGACCCTTCCAGCTGATGGAGCGGACGGGGCTCACAATAGCGGCAGTACCGGCGCCGAAAGCCTCGATCAGACGGCCCTCGTTCGCCGCCTCGGCAAGCTCCTTCATGGTGAACTTGCGCTCCTCGATCTTCCAGCCCTCAGGCGCCAGCTTCTCGCGAGCCAGCGCGAGGACGGAATCACGCGTGACGCCCTCGAGGATGGTGCCGTCAAGCGGAGCAGTGACCAGGGTCTTCTGACCCGTCTGCTTGTCCTTGATGGCCACAAAGAAGTTCATGGTGCCGACCTCGGTGACGTACTCCTCCTCGCCAAACAGCCACAGGTTCTGCTGGAATCCGCGGCTCATAGCCTCGACTTGGGGCACGATGCAGGGGGCGTAGTTGGCGCCGAGCTTCTTGTCGCCGACACCGCCGGGCCAGGCGCGCACGGCGTAGTCGGTCGCCTCGAGCGAGACGGCCTTGAAGCCCGTGGGGTAGTAAGGGCCGACGGGGGAGGCGATGACGTAGAGCAGGGCGGAACCGGGAGGGCCGACGCCAAGCGTCTTTTGGGTGCCGATCATGGTCGGGCGCAGGTACAGCGAGTAGCCGCGCTGCTCGGGGATGAAGCGGCTGTCGAGCTTGACCAGCTTGGCGATCAGGTCGATCAGGGCGGGCGAGTCGAAGGTGGGCAGAGCAATGCGGGCGGCCGACTTGTTGAAGCGCGCCATGTTCTTGTCGGGGCGGAAGAGGCGGATCTTGCCGGCCTTGTCCTTGTAGGCCTTCATGCCCTCGAAGCACTCAAAGGCGTAGTGGAAGACGCAGGTGGCGGGGTCGAGCGAGAGGTTCTGGTAGGGCTTGATCTCGGGGGCGTTCCAGCCGTTCTCCTTGGTCCATTCGATGGTGAGCATGTGGTCTGGTGCGGCACGAAAGTTAGTCAAAGCTGATTGCGCATTTTTTGGGGGGAGGTTTTGGACAGTACCAGTGAAGTTGCGACCGAAGACGAGCTCCTCGGGCTTCAAGAGGCCCTTGGGCTGGGTGGTCTTCTCGACCTTGAGCTTGGAAGGGTTGATGTCGGCAGTGCCAGCGGCAGCGCTGTACTGGCGGGCAGCAGTGGCGGAAAAGGCACCGAAGCATGGCCTCGCGGGCTGGAAGGCCGCAGCCCTGCGGAGGGAGGTGCGGAACATTTTTGGTGATGTGTGGTGTTTGGTGTTTTTGGTTTGGGTTTGGGTATCAAAGGCTGGAAATAACAAATCGTCTAGTCTAAATACAAAAAGGACTAAAGTGGATATGGTAGAGAAAGAAAAAAACAAAGGACAAAGAGATCAGTGATGACTTCTTCGACTCGGACCCGGGACCAGAGGATCAGAGGAAGGACAGAGGACGGACGGACGGACTGGACAGTAATATCAATCTATTTACACTACACACTGCTCGTACGTAAGAGTCAGTCCGTCAGTCAGACCGCCCAACCTAGATTCCCGCGCACGGCGCAAAGTGGACGAAAGTGGACGACAGCAATGTTGGGAACAAGGGACCATCGGAGGGCGATCGGAGCTGTGACTTGGGCCAATTGACCCAATCACGACTCCCCAATATCATGCTGTTCCCGACAAGCCCGCCCCATGCCGCCGCTAACCATGTCGCCCACGGAGTCATTTGAGGTCTCGACTCGGTGTGTTAACCGTGTTCCAGAACACATCTGCTGCGCCCCGCAAAATGCCCCCCTTGATTGCAGCAGGTGGGGTGTAGCTCCCTAACATATTTCACCGCCCTCGGGGTTCAAAGTCGCGAGGCCGTGAACTGCCCGTGAGGTGTGAGAGCGAGCTCCCCGCCCGCTGTCCCGTCATCGCTGTCATGGCCGCCGTCTTCCAGGCTTCCCCCCTGAGGTCATCTTATCATTCATTCCCTTCGTTCTTATCGACTTCAGCCTTACCACCGAGTGACACCAGGACTGTCTCCCGACTGGCGATTGGGCCTTACGCGCAGTTACACTGGGCTGTACCTACCTAAGGAGGCCAAGCTTGCGCCGAAACGTAACTTGTAACAACTTGAACTGCCCTGTGCCGTCTTCCGGACCCTTCATTCCTTGTTATTCGAAGCAACCAACATCGGTTGGCGGTCGACTATTCCAACATTGTTCAGCTGGGATTTGCTTTGGTATCTGATCTGTTAGTGGAGGGATCTGTAAACCATCAACTGCTATAGGTACGAATCACATCACTCCGTAAATGGAAGTCCAGTCAATTAGATAATGAGAATCTCCATATCCAATAACTCTTCGCCTTTGCCTTTTCTTCTTCCTTTGCCTTTCTTCCTCATCTTCCCATTGCGCGCGCGCCAATGGATACAGAGAAACGGTGACCGGGAATTTCGACCCTAATTGAAAGTTTCAGCTCCAGTAGCCAAACAGCCACCCAGCGCAAACTATCCGCCGAAACCTCGAACTCCCCCGACCGATTACCTAGACCATGGCCCTCGCCGGCGTCTTCAAGTCGCTCGGCGCGACCAACATCAACTCCAACTACAGCATATCTTCCACCCTCACGACCACGGCCGGACCATGGAAGATCTACCCGGCCAAGAAGAAGTCCACCGGCAAGGAGTACTCGGTCTTTGTCTTCGATAGGAAGATACTCGACGCGCATAGCAAGGACCTCAGCCGGTCCAGCGCCGCCGGCTTTAAGAAGGTGGTGGAAGAGGTGGTTGAACGGTTGAAGAAGGAGGCCTCTTCGCTGGCCAGGCTACGACATCCCGCCATTTTGGAACTCGTCGAACCGGTGGAGGAAACCAGAGGCGGTGGCCTACAATTTGTCACGGAACCAGTAACAACATCACTCGCGGCAGTCTTACAAGAGAAGGACGACCAGGAACGAAATGGCGTCGGTGGCCGATCAAGTCGCTATGTCAGAGAGGAGCCTGACGGCACCCGGAGGCGGCGCGAGGTGGAAATCGATGAGCTGGAGTATCAGAAGGGGTTGCTACAAGTCAGCAAAGCTTTGGAGTTCCTACACGAGAATGCCGGGCTGGTCCACGGAAACCTGACTCCAGATGCTATTCTTATTAATGCCAAGGTGAGTTCACACTCTATGACCCTCGGGTATGGCTTGCGCTGACCCCGTACAGTCAGACTGGAAGGTCAGCGGCCTCGCCTTCTGCAGTCCTCAACAAGATTCGGACAAGCCGACATCGATACAACCCATCAGTCTGGCAGAGGTCCTGCATTATGAGCCCAGGTTACCTCGGACCGTCCAGATGAACCTTGACTATACCTCCCCCGACTTTGTCCTCGACAACAATTTAACATCCTCGGCTGACATGTTCTCATTGGGTCTACTGTGCGTATCTCTATACAACTCGCCCCATCGGTCACCACTGGAGTGCAACTCGAGTTTGTCCGCCTATAAAAGGCACTTCCAGTCGTCACAGGGCGTGCCGTCGTCAACCAACAACTACCTCTGCTCCCGCGAACTACCGAAAGAGCTAGCCAACCATGTCTTACCAAGGCTTATCACGCGAAGACCGGCCACACGGATGACGGCCAAGGAGTTCCAGCAGAGCGAGTATTTCAACAACATCATGGTCAAGACTCTTCGCTTCTTGGACACCTTCCCGGCCAAGACGCCCAACGAGAAGCAGGCCTTCTTGCGAGGCCTGATCAAAGTCCTACCCGACTTTCCCAACTCGGTAATGGAGAAGAAGATTCTTCCGGGCTTGCTTGAAGAGATGAAGGATAAGGAGCTTATCTCTCTGATTCTCCATAACATCTTCAAAATCATCGAGCTTCTTCCGTCCACGGCTGGCAAGAGAGCTTTTGGAGACCGAGTGCGGCCGGTTATCAAGGAGATCTTTGTCACCAATGCAAAGCAGGCACAGGAAAGGGATCCTGCTAGGGATGCGGGTTTAATCATCATCATTGAGCAGCTACCTGTGATTGTTGCTGCATGTCCCGGAAAGGGGTTCAAAGATGGTAAGCTCTTCCGGTTTCATATACTGTGTTTGAACAGTCAGCTGACATCACTAGACATCCTCCCCATCATCTTCGCCGCCCTCGAGTCCCCAACACCCGTCCTCGTCGGCGCAGCACTTCAGTGCCTCCCAAGCGTCCTTCCCGTCCTCGACTTTAGCACCATCAAAAACGAGCTCTTCCCCGTAGTCGCCATGATCTTCAGCAAAACCAACAGTCTCGCCATCAAAGTCCGCGGTCTCCAAGCCTTTGTTGTTCTCTGCGGTGGCTCCACTGACCCATTAGCAAACAACGACGGCCTCGACGGACTCGGTCCCTCCGACAGGAAACCTGCGTCTAGCTCTAGTGCACTAGACAAGTTTACCATGCAGGAGAAGATTGTGCCCCTAATCAAGGCCATCAAAACCAAGGAACCGGCCGTTATGATTGCCGCCCTCAACGTCCTGCGCATTGTGGGCAAGGTAGCTGACGCCGACTTTGTGGCTATGGACATCTTGCCCATATTGTGGGCAATGAGTCTCACGCCCTTGCTTGACCTCAAACAATTCCAGTCATTCATGGATCTCATCAAGAGCTTGTCCAAGCGGGTAGAAGACGAACAAACCAAGAAGCTCCAGGAGCTCAACGGCGGCAACACCTCTGGTCCAGCAGAGGACTTTATGTCTCTAGGCGGGCTATCCAGTTCCTCAGCTCTAGACACGAACGGGACATCAGCCAATGATTTCGCGGCCCTAGTCGGCGGCGGCGGTAACACTAACAACAACACCAGCCCGCTTGACTCCGGCGGATGGGACAACGTCCTGACCTCCAGCTCTAACAAACCCGTAACCTCCCCCACCATCCGTTCTGGCACTGGCACCGGCCGCTCAACCCCCGCCGCAACCTTTTCCTGGTCCTCCGCTCCTCCCGCCGCCGCTCCCTCCACAACGCTAAAGCCACAAACCACCGGCCCCAACTTCCGCACCGTCACTCCCGATCTCAACTCCTTCCAGCCTCTTACCCCCCAATCCACTCAATTCTCTCAACCGCTTCAACCTACCCCTTCCACAATCACCTCCCCAACAGGAGGGACGGGTATCAACTGGGGCGCGGCCACACAATCGCAAGCACAAGTGAACCCTTGGTCATCATCAACCCCCACATCGACCGTCACTTCTCCCTCTATCGCTCCGCCAACGAGCGCCTTTGGAGGTATGAACCTCGGTCAGTTATCCAGTACTTCTAGAACCAGCTCTTCCTTTTCGTTACAACCGCCACCATCAGCTTCGGCTTCATCAGTCTCAACACCTGGATTTGGTGGGTCAGGGACCGGTGGGTTCAGTCTAGCACCGCCACCCAAGGCTCCCGCGCAGAGCAGCACGCCGACAACAGCAACGACTTCTTGGGGGAGCGGGTCCGGGTCATTTGGGAACTTGAGCCGGGGGAGTATCAATAATGGTGCTAATAGCATGGGGAACATGATGGCTGCAAAGAGTAATACGGGTAGTATGGGGTCTGGCTTTGGTGGGATGGGAATGGGAATGATGCAGCCTCTTCAACCGCAATCATCGGGTTGGGGGACACCGTTACAGCCTCAACAGACACAATCACAGCAGCAGCAGCAGCAACAGAACAAGTCAGGGTTGGATAAGTATGAGAGTTTACTGTGAGCGAAGACTCAAAGAGAGCAGGTGTAGTCATGGGAAGTTGGCCAAAAGGGAACTAGTTGAGGGGACGTACGTCGCGCCAAACTCAAAAGCTTATATATTATTGTTTATATTACTGTTCGAGACTATACTCCGTAAAACTAATACATACATACATACACACCCAACCGCCATTGAATATTCTAGCAGCTTATCACTCGACTGTGCTTCAACCATCCAATCTGCAAGGCACACAGGAAAAAAAAAAAAAAAAATAAAAAATAAAAGAGAGAAAAAAAAAAGACATACAACACCAGGGATTCGCTGGTCGTCACCGACCCAACTACTAGTCTGGCCCTCACTGGCTTATCTATGGGAGAGCGGACGGGATCCCGAGTTTTCCAGTGGGTATGGTCGTATGTGACAGTTTGGGTCAGAGTTTGCTACTATAAACGAGGGCTGTGTTGAACCAACTGGATACGTAACATGTTTGTTACTATCGCAGAAGAAAGTCGACATGTCGAACTTGTGATTCAGCCAGGAAGACATTCGTCAACTTTCACAACGTTTTTTTTTTTTTTTTTATACCCAAGCGGTGTTTCAATAACGGACGAATTATCTAAAATAGATTAAGTAAAGTAGCACCTCCATAATTACGCCAACTAGCAGCCTTGACAATCTCATCAACAGCCCCTGCAGGAGAAGGTCCCCGAAGGAGGTTGGTATTGCCGTATGAGGTTTTGGTTTTTTTTTGGGTGGCAGTTGTGGTAGTTGTATTTCCCTGGCGGAAGGCGATGGGAGAAGCTAGTGAGAAGAATGGGAGGAGGAGAATAGGAAGCTGAGGAGGAGGAGGAGGGCCGCAAGGGCAGTCGGTGGTGAGTATTGTTGTTGTTGTTGTGAGCATCTTTAGTAGTTACCTAACGTGTATAAGACTGACTAGTGTGAAGCAGATTACCTACGGAACGGTTGGTGGTGGTGGTGGTGGTGGTGGCACGTAAAAAGGAAAGATGGTTTTGAAAAAAGTAGCCATATAAATAGTTCATTCCGGAAGTTCGGGAGTCAAAACTGTTGCCTGCTGTGATAACTTCTTGTTTACAATATCATCTTTCTCAACTTAACATCTTGTGGCCACCTATCTATCATCCTCAACAACTTTCACGCGCTAACAATCTGTCAGCCCTCCAGCAACATGGCGAATAACGCCTATCTTGTCTACTAATTATCACATACTATCACGCTCCCTTAGTTTCAAAGGAAAGGGAAGAAACGGGGGAAGGGGCGACTCGCTGACGAGCGACAAAACAAACAACAAAAAGGTAGCTTGGTATTTTCGATTGTCACCCAGTAGTTAGTATACATAAAGAGACCTATATCGCTCCTCAAGCTGTCTATACATCTTACCTAGTGGAGAGGGTGCGAACTTGCCTGCCTACTCTGGTACACACACGGGACACTCACGGGTATCGGGTATCTATCTACCTGCTTACTTACCTACCTCTTGTTTCGGTTTTAGGCAACGTTGGTCTTTGCCCCGTTTAGTTCAACCAGATGAGGATGCTAAACCGGCTACTAAGCATGCTAATCACAAGGTCTACAAAAGCACACACCAAAGACGAACAGGAAGGGAGATCGATGTAAAGAAAGGTAAGGTAAATGAATCCCTTTTATTTTATATTCAACCCTCCTTCAAAGTACTGAAAAAGCCAGAAACAAAGCTGACGGCGCTAAAGCAGATAAATAAAAAGCGTTGGCGACACCATCTATTAACCAACCACGACCCTCCACGGCATCATGTGTATCTTTTGTATCTTTCTTTTCAAGTGATAGACCACACACACACACACAGCAGAAGCATGGCTTCTAACCAACCACTCACGCCCAAGCCTAAGCCTCTTCACCACCCTTGTCCTCTGCCTCCAAAGGCTTCACGTTCCCACTTCCATCCCTAGTGACATGCTCCGCGACAATAGTCTCTCCAGCAGTGTTAGTCACCAGGGACTTGACCTCTTCCTTTGACACCTCTTCGTCGGGGACAGAGCCAGTGTTAGAGGAGTTAGTAACCTCGGTATCAGCATCTGCTGCCTCGGCCTTTGCTGACGCAGTAGTGGCATCGCGCTTATCTTCTACCTTTACGGTGGCTTCAGAAGCAGCAGTCTCGGCCTTCTCAGCTTCGACGGCTTCGACGGGTTCTGGAGCGGGAGCTTCGGTCGAAGTAGGGGTATCAGCCGGAGCAGAAGATTCGGCCTCGGTTTCGGCTTCGGTCTCATCCTGAGCCTTCAACTCCCGCTCGATGGCGGGGGTGGAGGGGAAAGCACCTGGTGCTTCGGGGGTGATAGCCTCGGGGAGAGGACTGGGCTCGGACTCGGGCTCGGGGGTCTTTTCCTCCTTAGTCTCTTCCTTTGGTGCCTCCTCCTGATCCTCATTCTGGACAGGCTCAGGAACAAGCTTTTCTACCACAGCCTTGGCCTCGTCCTTGACATTCTCGAGCGTGGGCTTCTCAGCCTCGGTCTCGGTCTTGGACTCAGCCTTAACCTCTTCCGTCTTCTCCTTAGGCTTCTCCTCTTCTAGTGCCTTCAACTCAGCAACACCAACACTAACACCACCCTCCTCACTCTCAGGGTCAATAGCCCAATAACTAATCGAAACCGAGAAGCTCAACTTCGGACCAGCCGCCTCCTTCTTCTCGTCAACCACCGCCGGCGCCGGCGCCGCAGCAGCCGCAGCCGCAGCCTTAGCAGCTGCAGGCGCCCTCCTCTGGGGACCCCTCGCCCTGCCCTTCCTAGCATCACTAAGCGGCACCTTCTCCTTCTTCTCCTCCTTCTCCTGCTCCTCAGCCGGCGCCTCCTCCTTCTTAGCGGGCATTTGCGGGCCGAGACGCAAGCGATTGTTAAGGTCGTTCATGAAACCGGCCTGCAAAGCGGCGATCTTAGAGCCCATCGGACGAGCGGGGACGGCGGGCTTTTGACGCGGAGGAGCGGCGGCCTCGGCGGGTTCGAGACCACCGGATGTGGGAGACGCCTTGACGGGGCGGGCGGGAATGGCGGGCTTGGCGGCCGGCTTGGGCTTGGGACGGTCGGGGATGGATGGGCGCGAAGGAAGAGATGGGCGGGCGGGGATCGCCGGGGGTGAGGGCTTTCGTTCTGTGACTACGGCGGGAGTGGGGGCAGGCTCTTTTGGCTCGGGGGTCTTGTCTTCGATCTCGGGCTTCTCAGCAATCTCCTCGTCAATCTTGGGCTCAGGCAACTCTGTACGGGGAGAGACTTGGGGAGACTCGGCTGTGGCCTCCTCCGTCTGCTCCTCGTCCTGCTGGGGGGTAGAAACCTCGGTCTGCAGCTGCAAGCTCTCCGGGCTATCCTCCCAAACATCGCGGCTAGGGAACCTCTGGGCCATGGCCGGCCTGGCCTTGGCAGCCTCCTTCTTCACTTCCTGCAGAAGATGGGGCTGGCCCTGAACCCAGGAAGGTTTTTGCTGGTGCGAAGAAGACTTGGGAATACTCGACTTGACGAAACCATCGGGGCCGTTTTCCCGGGCTTCCTTTTCGGCAAGCTCTTCTTGTTGACGAGCAAAGGCTTGAGCAAAGGTCTCGCCCTCGCGAGGTTCTACCTGGGGCTTGGCCTGCTCCTGACCCTCTTCCTCTTGCTGCTCCGCGGAGGGTTCCGGAGTGGAAACTTCGGCAGTGTACATGGTACTGCTGGGGGCGTCCTCCCAGACGTCAGCACTGGGGAAGCGGCGCTTGTGTTCGGTCTTGGGCCGCAAGGGCACCTCAGGCTTCTTCGCGGGTTGTTCGTCATCCTTGAAAAGGGGCTCATATTCCTCAACATCCTCGAGAGGAGTAGAGCGCATCTCGTAAGAGTTTTCCCTGTAGATGCTGGTCGGTCTGCTATTCGGGCGGCTCTTGTGCTCAGCATGTTCGCGGCGCTCAGGCACAACGGCCGGTTCGTGATCATAAGGAGATGGGTTCTTTGCAACCTCATCCTCGGCAAGGATGGGCGCAGTGTACTCTTCCTCCTCTTCAGCCACCGGTGCCGATCCGTCCATGGACTTGCCTCTGGAGTGGCGACGGCTGGGCTCATCCACGTGAATCACGTTTTTGGGTTCTTCATCCTCCTCAAGAGCGCGGGGTTCCCCACCGTCGTCTTGTAAAGCAAAGGTTGGCTTGACAGGAGACTTGCGCCGGGAGGAACTAGGGCGGGGAGATGCGACGCGGGAGGTAGACTCCTCGATGGCTTGCCATCCGATCTGCTCGCTGGGGGTACCGGGATAGTTTTGGACACCTGTGGGCAGAATATGTTAGCCAGAAGCAAACATAGCAGTGAATGCATACGAGTGATGCTTACCAAGACCCGCTCCACGACTGGCAGTCTCGCGGACAATCTTGTTCAGGTTCTCACTGCTCATGGCGAAGTCGTTGGAACGATCGTACTGATAAGGCGTGTGCTCCTTCTTGAGCGCCTCGGGGTGCTTGTCAAAATAAGCCTTTTCAAGCTTGTCCACGGCAAACACACCATGGCCATGAAGGCCATAGCTGCCGGGAGGAAGGCCGCCGCGGGAAGAAGTCCTACGAGTGTGATTCTTCGCCTTTTCGGCAGTTGCGCCAGGAGCAGGCGATGGAGCCTGGACATCACCAGCGTTCTTGTACATGGGCACTTGCTGGCCAATCTGGGGAATACCATGCTCGTCTTCCAAGTCCACCGACAGCTGGCTGGTAGTGCTAGCTTTCTTCTTGAGACTCCTGTTGGCCGGAAGGACATGTGTAGACTCGTCGTGGCTGCTAGGACGGCCAATTCCAAAGGCTGCAGCTCTGTCGCTATCGGTGCGCGTAACGGCCATGATGCGCTGCTTGGCATGAGCAGGAGGCAGGGACGGCTTGGGCGCATGGAGCTTGAGATCGTGGCCGATGGTCCTAGTTTGCTCCGGGGTAGTACTTTGCTCGCTGGAAGGAGGATTCTCGGTGATGTTGGCATATTCCATGCCCTCTTGGCCGAGGGACGGCAGGTCAACAGACGTAGATCTCTTGATGTCCTCGCCATTGTGACCGTTGCGCAGGGGATGCGCAGACTTGGGTTGAATAGGTCCCTCGTTAAGAGGCGAAGGCGCAAAGCGGTTCGGATTCGGGCTCATGGAGCGATCGATGCGGTTCTTAAGCGGGCGTGGAGGGATCATTGGGGCTGGCTGTTTTTCCGTACTCCTAGACGGTCTAGGGGGGATGGGAGGCTGGGATGCTGTGGTAGACATGGTGATACCTGGGCTCGGGACGAGTCGAAGCTATGTATGTATGTACCGTGCGTATAGTGGTAAATCTGGCTCAGTGACCAATGTCTCGGTTCTCTGGATATGGCTGTCGAGGTGTGAAGCACGTCGGTATCAGAGGCAGTGGCGGGTAGTACGATGGGTCGTGTAGTATCGTCAAAGTCGAAGTCACTCGTGTAAGTGGCCCGGTACTAAAGTGACTATAACAGGAACGTGCGCCTTGGGGTTAGCACAGGTTCTTTACCATGTATTCACAGGAACAAGTCAATGGTACCCGATGTCAAAGGAACACTGGGATGTAAGATAAGTGCGCCTGGCAAGCACAAGGATGTGTTGAAGGTGAGGGAAGTGGGTGTGTGTGCTTGGTGAGCTTTCGTGATATTATGGGTGGTGATACGGCAGTGTGCGGCCAGAAAGGGGCAACCCGGCGGAGAAGCTGGGCTTCCGGATCGCCTCCCCCTTGGTCACCGCTTATGGGCTTGGACGGTTCGCCATAGTCTGGAAACACCGCGCTTGCGCCCATTCGCTTGGGATCCAGTGCGTCTCGGCTGTTCGGTTGGCGCGGCTCTCTTCTTTGTTGGGGGGGGGGGGGGGGGGGGGGGGGGGGCATCGTGAAAAGGTATTCCAAGACTTTGCTCACGCAGCCTTCCGCCTCACAAGATAAGAAGTCTTGTCACTGCCATGGAAACTTGTACCGAGAAGCCCGGTACTGTCTGATAAGACGATGCCGGGGACTTTTCTTTGCAATAGCAGTACATGTAGCTGGCTGATGAGCTTCCACGTCTGGACATGGCTATCGCGGGAAAGAAGGAGATCACCATTGCCCCTCCGCTTGCACATGTACAAGCTTCAAGTTGATGCCCTTTTGTCCTTTCCCAGCTTCTCAGCTCCACGAATGACTCAAAATTATCCGACCCCTTCTGCCAATTCGGGGCTGCGGAGACTCCGCCGGCTCGGTGAGGTTGACATGGAAGGTGGTGTTGTGTCCATGTCGTGGCTGGGCAGATGTTGGGGCAGGATGGAAAAGATGGATGGTGGGGGACGGCATGTGTCAAGGTGCCAGCAGAAAGGCCGGCGCTTGCTCAAGCCCGTGGAAGCTGAATCAGACGGATGGGATGGATGGATGGCGTGTGCCACGGTACTGCACTCACCTAGAGATAAGGTTCCGTGTTGACAACGCAAGTATAATGGTGGTGGTGTTGACGGGCGATTAGGTTCATAGGAAGGGTTGAGTTGGGGTCAATTGGGAAACTTGAAAGAGTAAGATGGATGGATGATGGCCTCTCTTCCTTGCTTTCCCTGTTCTTTAATAAGAAGCTTGAGTCAGTGCAAGTCGAAGTAATAATGGAAACAAATGTATTGGCGACGGATGGACTGAACTCGGTGGGCGGCGCGCTGGCCACTTATATCGTCTTTGTTATCATATGTACAAACAGTGAGAGACTGAGAATGTCCGTCACTTCATCATGCATGCCGCACTAATTAATACTCGAAATACTGTCCCGACGACTGTCTATCCGCACAATGAATTGTCTGCTTCCATGACCAATTGGGGCATTCATCTGCAATAGCATGTGCATCGTCAATGGCCTCATTGGGCTTAGGACAAAGTGCCCCAATGCCCCTCATCGTCATTTGGCGATTCAACCGCCATGGTACCGCAAAAGTACCGCCAAAAGCCGTCATCTGATGGGGCATATACAGTATCATTCATTGTACTGTTACACGGTACGATTCGACCGGTTCCTGATCGGTGCCTGCTCTTCACAATGTAGCCATCTGACCGTCAAATTCTGCAGCCCAGCCGAGTCCGTTCATTCATGATGAGTATCAACTAACTGCTATGATCCCAACCCTCTTTTTTGTCCTCGAGTCAAAATTCAATGTTGTGGTTTTCTAGATAGGTTCACAGACGGGCAGCTCGAGCACTCAATCGACTGAAGTGAGGTGCCCTGCCCTGCCCGCGGTGCTCATCAAGGTGCCCGCACGCCTCAAAGCTTCCCCTGGCAGCGCCTCAAAAAGAACATTTCAGGTTTTCCAGCGTTAAACCCCTTTCAGTCATCCCCTGGCACCCGAGGCCCCGTCATACTGTATCTCTACCCCACCATTGCCCCACCTCTTTGAGATGCAACAACGACCTGAGCTGCCAAAAGGAAGGAAGCTAGAGAGTTCCTTCTCAAACGGCCCAGCTCTGCAATCGAGGCCCAAGTGACGTGCAGAATTTTTACCACAGTACTTCATAACATTGGACATCTGACGGACTGTCTCCCTTTTCTTTTCCCGTCCTTCCGTCTCTCCCTGCTCCTCCTTTCTGTCTATCAACAGCCAGCTCGAGCACGTTTGTTTTGTTCCTATCGAGCATCAGGCCCCGAGATGGAGAGCGGATACACTTTGAATAAGTGGGGCCTGTAGTCCTGATCTGCCTTCTGCCCTTCTTTCCCCTCCACTTCATGACATGGGTCTCGATATTATTCTTGATGAGACCTTCGTCGGAAACAACACCAGTGAACAAGAGCACAACGTATTGTTATCATGGTTATCGTACTGTAGTGAGGCTACTATCGACGCACTCTACTAGCGAGACGGCAGCTCCGGTGAAAAAGTCCAAGACTCCGGGCCGTTCCCCTCATCTCCTCCTCTCCTCATCTTCCCTCTCGGTCCCAAGAGATGTTGGGAATGCAGCAAGCCCCAAAAAAAGAGTACACAATTCGCAAAGCCCCAGGCCAATCACAACCGAAACACAACGTTGTGCCCAAACCCAACGGTGACCGCTTCTTTACGCCAGGGCAAGCTTCTATGCGATTTGACGCACCTCTTGCATATTTACGAGCTATATATGAAGCTCAAAGTATACGACAGGTACCAGTCTTTATCTCGTCAGACTGGGGCTGAACGTGTTGGCTCCTTGCCAGCCGAACACGTATTGTACCATAGCTCTTAGCCGCCGTTCACGATAGCAAAAGCTTCGGTCTTTTACAAAAGGTACCTTCTTTTTATCGTGTCCATGTGCTAGTCGTAAAATTCAAGCGAATGAATCTCGAGATCGTGATCCCTCTTTTCTTTTGGGAAGAGAGAATCTCGAAGAAGGGTCGACAAGAAATCAAACCTTCAAATGACGCAATCTCCATTTGATCGTCAAGCTCCAGGACTACATAACATCCGTCATATCATCCCACACACAACAACGGACGGAGACAACCCTTTGACCTTTCAGTTGTTGAACAACCTCCTCCCGTGGCAACAACGTCGGTTTTCTTAGTTAACAGAAACTCGAACAACCACAAATCGGAACAGTCATCCCGAAAAGCCAAGATCGCGGGGAAGCCCATTTGAACCTACACAATCGCGGCACAAGAAACAAACCCACTGCAAACCTGTATGACGGACCATTCAATTCTTGATACGCCCAGAAAAAAAAAAAAAAAAAAAAAAAAACGCCCTCTCTTTTGGTACAACAACTTTCACGATACCAGCCATGTATCATGTCAATCCCTCGCTCCGTCCGTTTCCCACAGTGTTTTTCAACAACAGGCCTCTGCAGTGCCACAGCGAAGACAAACCGATGGTTCAAGGCAAACCATAACCGAGAAACAAACTGAATAGAAATGCTGATAACTTGGCCGTTTCATGCAAGACATCTACACTAAACTACAGCCGAGATCGCCAAAAGGTAAGGCGGTCAACACACACACACACACAAATCGCCGTTCATCTCTCAAGCAAGGTCGATCCAGGTACTGTATATACATACATACATATATACATACATACATATTTACCGCCGACCTGTCTCTAACGAACCCATCCATCCCCATGACACACTCAACCCCAACTTTTTGTTTCCACACTATGTATCGTAGCACGAAACCGCCCGTTTCCTACTTCGATAATCATTTGATCAATCACAAGACCAATTGTCGCTTTCTTTTCTACATGCAGTGTGCAAGTCTGTACCTACTTACTCGTCTGCCTCAATTCCTCAAGGGGTTTCGCTTAAAAAGGTCAAAATCGCGGGGAAGTTACACGTCTAGTTGGTCCTAGTTGGTTGACCACCAGGGATCATGACAATTATACATAAAATGTATGTAATTAGCAATAGGTAATTGGTTGGGCTTTGTTGTTTGTTCTCAATTGAGCGAGGACGACAGCCCCTTGGCCTTTTCGTGGCATTGACCGGTATACCTATCCCATACTTTATACTATGATGTTTATGGAGCATTCGTTCTCTGGTCGAGTTACACGGAACAACGAAACGGATTGTGATATTAAATACTTCCACGAAATAAAAGTAAGAAACAATAGTTTCCGGGCACGGTATACCTTGGTGAAAGTTGGTTGTAGTTAGTGTATAACCCATCTGTTGAAATGTCAGATGTCAAAGATGAATGAAGAGGAAGATACTTGTAGAAGAGGCTAAGCTACATCGGACGGAAGAGCCAAGGAAGGGTTCCTGTATGCGATGTCAGATGGACATGGGAGACCAAAGAGACCAGATGGAAACTCAAGGCATCTGAAATGTGCTGGCATGTGCTATGATAACGGGGGACTGGAGCCTGCCTACTTAGGTATTTTATGATGCGGACTGTTAACCACTTTCCTCAGGATGGATGATAATGCAAGCTTGTCTGTCTATGTCCCTCCGGAGTTGGTTCAATGTTTCCAAGATGTCGGGTTATTCGTCAGTGACAGACAGCTGGGCATGTCCGGCTAACTGTGAGTAATAGACCAGTATAGAAGTCGTCCACCTTGTCCGCTGCAAGGGAAGAAGTGTCCTGACACTTTCAGTAGCTGGGAAAAGGCTTGAACACGATCACATGCACTGAATTGGGCGAGCTCGGATGTATAGACCAACGAATAATGTTTCATTTCAATACACTATATAAAGCTGGAGCTAATCGGAGCAAGGGCGAGCCAAGGCCCACCGTCCTCGGATCTATTCTCCACGCCCGTCTTTCAGTCCTTCATATGAAACAAGTTTCCACTGAAGAGAAAGCGTTAGCCACGTCTCTCTTGCTTGCTAATGTGTTCCAATGGTTATGTTTTGGGCAAAACAGGAAGTGAATGCAAGCTGTAATCTCAGAAGGAACAATTGGTACAGTCCACGTATGGCTGTATCAATACCTCATCACCCGAAGGCATAGGAATCCCTTTTATCATCATGTACAGCAGCAATGGGAAGGAGAAGAGTGGTGATAGGATGGCAAGAGGGAGAGACGGAGTAAGGAGAAGTCGTACCTTTTTATGGTATGATAACGTTATGTTACAACAGCATCATATTCAACACTAGCATGGTTGTGATGAAGCTGCCCAGAAGGACCCTCCCAGCGACACCAAAACTCTGATACACCATGCATGCCATCGAAAGTCCATGACCACCTTCAAATTCTATTCCAGGTGCGTCTGGTGCCCAATCGCGACTTGGATGCGGCGGATGTGCCGTCTCTGACCATACCACATCTGTTTCGACCACGGCCACCACTTGGTGCGGAAACAATGAGTCGTCATGGAATCTCGCAGCTTCCTACAGCTCCCGGTTGCTAGCCACGGCAAGGTCCACCATCGCGGTGTTTTAACTTCTGTCAAGATCGCAACAGATCGTCGCCGACTGGACCTCGCCAGGCAGGCAGCCAGGCAGCCTAGCGAAGCATGCCGTCCATGCTGTTTGTGAAGCTCTCGGCGTTTGTCAAGGAATCTGCACCAATTGTTAGCCTTCTGTTGTATTAGACAGACGCATTGTTTGTAAAGTATAGAAAAAAGCAAAGATTTGCAAGGTGTGTCAGACTGTTGAGCTTGATATATTAAGTGTTCAACATAGAGATTCAGTTGTTTGAAGAAGAATAAGTCATCATCCGTGGGGGGTTTGGTTGACAAAAAAAATGCGATTGTGTCTTACCTGTTTGAAGTTAGTCAACGACGGCGCCGGTGCGCCAACTGTCTCTGTTGTGATGGCATCGACAGAGACGCAAGAAGTTGGGACGGAAAAAAAAGTTGGAAGAGAAAAGGCTTCGAAACCCCTGCCGCGGATTTTATGCTGGCGAGAAGCAAATGAAAAGGAAAGCTTGGACCACTCACAGCGCGATCGCACAGCCAGCCGCCTGTCGGGCGTGACAGTACCCCGCTTTTAGCTGAGACCAAAATTTAACCCCACCGTGAACCTTCACTTCTGCGAACGGTATCGCGATCGGTCAGTCACAGGCCACAGCCCGGCCACAGCCCAGGCACAAGGCAGGCGGCACGCAGTCGCCATAGCGCCTTGGGCGGGCAACAACAGCCTGTCGTCCCTCCCCAGCAGTAGTGAGTGGGCACCTGATATTCCCCTCCCCCCCCCCCCCCCCCCCCACCAGCCTCCATCATTGGGTACTGACAAACTTCGAACTACGAAAGAGGCCAATATAATATCAACACCACCCGCCATTCACCGATTCTCTTTTCCTCCGCTTCTTCTGCCCGACGTCTTGCTCTAGCCATACTCTTGCATATTACTCATTTCGAAACCTTTATAAAAAGTTTCCAGCAAAACAACCGCCAAAATGTCTCTCGGTAAGTACGCATGGCCAACAATGAGGCGGGAAGGCCGCACGAGCAGGCAGACAGTCAGACAGGCTCTCGGTCGAAGCTCTCGGTCCAGCCCAATCCAGCTTTCCCCATGGCTACCGTGTTATCGCCGCGATGGCAGTCAATAAGCAACAGAGAGTATTATGATTGCTAACCTCTTGGCCTCCATGACAGACTTCACCGCTATCGCCAGTGAGTAGAATCCGACCATGCACGAGCTCGAGCCGCTCCCCCTTCGACGTTACCGGAGAACATTTAGACGATATGGGGATCAAGTCTCTAGAAAGAGGAGGGCCTGGGCAGAACGAGGGCAAGAGGCGGGCAGACCAGAACAGCGCTCCCACCATGATGACTATTGCTGCCGCAATCGACTGAGCTGAACCTAACACCACGCTTTTTTCGCCTAACAGCGCAATTCGTTGCCCACTACTACTCTACCTTCGATTCCGACCGCAAGAACCTCGCTGGTCTCTACGTACGATTCCCTCTTCCAGACTTTTCACCGAAGCCGACAATGATGCGCTCATTCATGACGTACACGCGCATGTCGACGAGTGCACAGGAGATGGACATGTATGCTGACATAATCACACCACCATACAGCGCGACAACTCTATGCTCACCTTCGAGGGTGCCCAGTCTCTCGGTGCCCAGGGTATTACTGAGAAGCTTACTGTAAGTCTGCGCCTGCCGAACCAAAAGCCTGTAGGGACATGAGGGTCAGGGAAACTGACAGAGCAACCCAACAGTCTCTCCCATTCCAGAAGGTCAAGCACGAGTACGGCCCGCCCGATGCTCAGCCCACCGCTACCGGTGGTATCATCATCCTTGTCACCGGCCAGCTTATTGTAGGTAATATCCGTGAACGCTGAAGCACAGGACTGTTGCCATCTAACATCCCGGACAGGTCGATGACGAGCAGCGCCCTCTTGGCTACTCTCAGGCTTTCCAGCTCTCCCAGGACGCCTCTGGCCAGTGGTTTGTCTTCAACGACATTTTCAAGCTTGTCCTTCTCTAAGCGAGTAGGTGGTGGATGTGTGTGAAGAGATGTTTTGATTATCTGAAGAGGTGGATGAATACCAAGGAAATCAAAGAAATGTCCAAAAGACGGGACTATTGCGTTTGTGTGCATGACTGAACGAGAATATCTTTTCTGCGCGCCTGTCTTCCTGGTGTATGTGTTGCTGCTTGCTTCGTGTGTAACGAACGGAAGAAGATGGATGAAGCCGAGTTCGGCTGTCGACTGTTGATGCTGAGGGGCCGGGCCTTCTCGATAGACTATGTATGAACACCGAGGTATAGGGGTCCACGATGATAAACGAAGTTTACTGTCATCAGGTCATCCCAGGCTTGGCATTGAGATGTTCAGTTGGCGATCTCGGAAGAAGGCTTGGCTTTGCGCCCAAGCCTTTAGCTTGTGGCATGTCACTCGCTGGAACATTCCATGACGATGACCGCTCACTTGCTACCGAGAGGCTAGCGAGAGAGGCATCATCTATCAGATGGGCCGCGTAACGTCGTCGTCAGCGGACGAGGCTTCCAACAAAGACCACAAGGTGCTGCCTGGCAACTTGACGATGTTGATGGATGATGAGAGCAACATCATCTGAGGGATAAGCAGTCATGTCATAGCGGGGTCTACGGCAGGGGAAACAAGTACATAAAGAAGTCCCCTGACCCTGAAACCGTTGAATACGCTCGAAATCGTTATCCCCTCGCTTGTTGAACCTAAAGTGCTTCATCGAAGCTCCCTTTCGGTTTCATCAAGGGAGCACTCAGTGAACAGGAAGAACAAGGGGTCCAATCATCGGCTCAGCGCATCCGTTTACACGCTAAACCGGGCAAGCGTGACACAACCTAGCAGGCAGCCAGGCACAGCAGCACCGCCACTGTCAGGCCGGCACTTGAAAGCACCTCACCGGCCACACTCCTACATTTGGCGCTCACCTTGGGCCCTTGGCATGCCCATTGTACCTTCCGTTGCAGGGCGTCGAACCGCTACGAATGCCATCCGTCAACCTCCAATCAGTTGAGGCTTACGTTACTTTTGGCGGAACCTCCTCCTCCAATTCAACTAATCACTTCCCGGTCTCACATCACTTCACATTACGTCGACTGCTGCTATACCCTCACGAGCTCTTCAACAATCGTTGATTTGACTGTTAGTGGCTTCTCAGTAAACCAAAACCTCAAGATCCCCTCAACAAACAAAAACAGAAACCCACTGTTTTCCGGGTAGCCCGCCACTCGCCGGTCGACGACCCCAACCCAGACCCCATCCAGATCCAGCATCGGCATTTGGACCATACCGTCTCTGTCGACGGACGGAGATCCGACCCGACCGACTGGAGGATCTTCTCTTTACCGCCCAGCCTCATACTTTGCTCACCTCTTTCTCTCGCGCTTTCTTTTTCTCTCCACAAGGCGATTCGGCAGGACACGACAACACAATAAACGGCCTACAGCACCGAGCATAAAGCCTCTTTGGAAAAGGACATCAAGGGGGAATCCGGGACGTACTACTGTCAATTCCCATTGTTGCCGAAACGAACGAAGCAACCACCAACCAACCAACCACCTGTTTCCTACAGCAAGCGAGTGGAAGCGACAGCAACAAAGACCGCCGGATAGGTCCCTCAATAATCAACTCTCCTCCTCAACTACCTGCTCCCAACAACCAAGCAACAACTACAACTACTCGCGAGCGAGCTAGTAAAGGACGACTTTTACGAAACGAAACGAACTTTGAACTACGAGTTACGATAGCAAGATACGAATCGGCGGGCACGGCCAAACCACCAACCACAGAAGAAAAAAAGGAGTAAACGAATAGCTTCAGAAATCTAGCCAAGATGACGCTCAAGGACGAATTCGCGACGCGCAACTTCAGTATGTGTCTTTCTTGTCTTCTCCTCCCCATCCGTCCCCTCTGCCCCTCCGCCCCTCCCCGGCGCTGATCCCCCTCGGCGTCGGCGCAAGCTCCACCGACGCCGATGGGATGTGTAACGGGAATCTGCTCATCATGATGCAATAAGCACCTTGCTGACTGAAGTACTTTCTCACAGGTATCTATGGACAATGGTGAGCACACACAGTCCCTTCGTTTGCGTAGCCGGCGCAAGCTAGCTACGTCTTACGCACCGCCTCTGTCGATGCTCCTCGAGAGCAAGCTTGAAGCAGCTGGAGCTGTTTTCTCGACAACTCTTCAGCCGTCGAAGATAAACCCAATAGACCAGAGACAGACATCCCCATCACCTGAAGCCCAAAAAAAAAACAGGAAAGCTAACCAACCACACACCCCGCAGGCTCGGCATTCTCTCCATGATCCTCTGCTTTGCCCTTGGCATTGCCAACATCTTCACCTTTAGACCCATCATCATTGTCTTCTCTGTCATCACTCTGTAAGATGCTCTGCCATATCTTCACTCCCCTCTTTTCCCCCTTCAAAAGCACTAATCCCGCGTCACACACACAGGTGCTTCTCCTTTGTGATTCTCTTCGTCGAAGTCCCTCTCCTCCTCCGCATCTGCCCGACCTCGCCCACCTTCGATAACCTCATCCGCAAGATCTCGACCAACTACACGCGCGCCGCCGCTTACGGCGTTATGGCCGTCGTCGTCTTCTTGTCCTGCATCGATCGCACCACGTCCCTCCTTGTCCCCGGCATCTTCCTGTCGTTCACGGGTATCTGCTACGCTCTGGCGGCGCTCAAGGGTCAGGCATTTGTGGGAAGCAAGACGCTGGGTGGAGCGGGTGTGGCGCAGATGATTGTATAAGTCAAGCGCGAGCACACGAGAAACAGCAAGGGGAGAGAAAGTGAGGAGGGAATGGGGGAATTTGGTACTTGAACTGCAAGAAAGTACTTTCCATGAGATGGGAGTACGGAAGTAAGGGAAAAATGATCAAAACAGGGAATACAAAAGTTTTGGGTCAAAGGGGGGGTGGTTAGCGTCAGTATGGGTGGGAGTGTACGTACTGACCAAAAAAAAGGAGGAAAAATAATGGATGGGTATACGTCGAGTGAAAGAAGATGCAGGGGGTTGGGTTCATTATAGACAGGGCGGAAAAGGGAGGGACACTTTTCGGAAGACAAGAGTGATGCCGGAAAAAAAAGGGAATCCGCTCGTGTCAGTCGTGTTGTTGCTGGACTGTTTGAATGAATTACTATTCACATTATAAGGGGAGAGAGGTCTCCCCATGTTCATCTATCTATCGTATTGCTTGTTTGCGTGTGTGTTTCTGTAGGGATGATACCAATAACAAGACTAGTGATTTCTTTGATTCAAGCGTTCACTTTCTCTCACAACATGCTAATATTTTCTCTGTTTATTAAGCAACATGACGGGTGTTCAGTTTTGCTTCAGATACAATCACTATGAAATTCAGTTTAGTTCAGTTCAGTTCAGCTCAACTGGTTCACCACTGCAGACTCTTCAGCTTTTCCATATGGGGGACAACTACATAGAATGAGTCTTATATGGTTAAGGTAGGTTGTTGGTACCAGGCCTGATAATGTCCATACTTTATGTGCTTTGTTTTCGGAACTTGATCTTAAACATAACCGCTGTATTCCTTGCTCAGCATAGCATAGCATAGCTTAGCTTAGCTTAGCTCACCTAAGCTTTAGCTTCAGCTTATCAAGGTACACCAAGTAAAGTAAATTGTTTTGAAACATTTCCGCAACTCCTCCTTTTCAAACAATGGAACTCTGTCTGTCTCCCTGATTCTGAGTCCGAAGACGAATTTATCATTATGCTTTCATCAATATAATTAACCATGCAATCAACATGCATACCGTATAAGCTCTGTCTGAGTGTCTGTTTGTATTCTGCCTGCCTCTTTACCCCTTCTTGTCCCTCTCCATGTCACACTTGTTCTATACACTTTCAAGAAGACGCAGTCCAAGTCAAAGTCAAAGCTAGACGATACAGAACACAAAAAGGAGAGAGAAAAAAAAAAAAAAAAAAAAAAAAAAAAAAAGGACATTTCCGCTTCTTCGTGGTGGTATCCCTCCCCACTTCTTTTGGATGAGTCCGATATCCTTTTAGCCCCTCCCTCTTCTCTTCTCTTCTCGTCTCTTCATCATCCGAACTGAAGTAGCCCGACATACGATCTTCGTTGATCTCGGTTTCTCTTTTTATTCTCATTGGGAATCCACCCGACTCCTACTCTTATGCAAAATCGCAATGAGTTTACACAGAAAACAAACGCTAGCCGTTGATCGGTAAGGGCAGTTCGGCAGTGTCTTTGCGACATAATATAGTAAAGACAAACGAGCAGCTTTGTGTGTGTATATCAAGTTTCCGAGAATACAGAGAAGAGAAGAGAAGAGAAGAGAACAAAGTTGGTTTGGTTAATCGAGTTGATTTTGTCTGTTTTTTTTTTTCGGGCGTGGTATCTTTTTCGCTGTATCATTTTCCCGTAAACCGCTTCCCGCCGGGCACCTGATCTTATGCATACGGAGCACCAAGTCAATGTTGGGCGGGCACTGATTTATGATGCCCTTCACCCAGGGCATTGCAGATGAAATCTCAGCCCCTGCGTGTCACTTCCTTCCTTAGTGATCTCTCAGCTTGACACTCCTCATCTTTCGACGAAATCATTCAGTGGCATGAGAAGATCTCATCTTACCCCGCCTGTCAGACCACCGCTGTAGCTTCCTGGTACATCTAGCCCTCTTGGAAAGCCAGCGGGTGTCATGGCGAGCTTTGAGAGTGTCCTATAGCTCCTCCTCGTCCATCTCACCACCCATCGTCTGCGGTAGAGGCGTCTCCGCGGCTTGGGCGAGTATCCCATTAGGACCTGATGGCACCGAAGGCACGAAAGAGCTGCCGCCCAGTGGCTTCACATCACTGCCCACGTCGTCTACGCTCGCACGAGCCTTCTTCATGGGACTACCCACAGCGGCGGCCTCGCCGGTTAGGCTCTTGGGGAATAGTGATGACAGGCCAGCGGTCGTTCCTGGCGCGCTTCCGTTCTCTGGGGCGGCACCTCCAGCTTGTGTACCAGTGGTGCTGCTTTGACCCGCGTCGTGAGCACGCTTGAGCTGTTGAGGGTGTCAGTTCACTGAAAGTTGACACTAGAAATAAATACCACGGGGCCACACACCTTTATGCGATTTACTCCATCCGCCAACTCTCCAGTAAACTTGACGTCCTCTGGACCCTGCTTGGAAGGGTCGACATTGTCTTCGTCATCAGCAAGCATCTTGTCGCTGATATCGTCGTCGTCATCTTCGTCATCGCTATCTTCATCCATGGCACCGGCCTTGCCATTGGTGTTCTTGCGCGACTTCTTCGGCCTCGGCTCTGCATCGCGATCACGGAACGTCGAGAAGCCCACGGTACCTTGCTTCTTTAAAGGTCCCAGGCTGGAGAAGTCGAGCTGTGCGGATCGTCGCTTGGCGGCAGTTGGACTGGTAACTTGCTGCTTCTCGGAGGCTAGGACGCCCATCTTCTGTAGTTGGCCTGTAATCAACGTGGGTCAGTCTACTGTTTGTCTTTGTGCTTTGGTTATGGGACTTACGCTCGCCGCGGTAGAAAAAGGTAAAAACGGCATAAGGCTTCTCTGGACCGTCAATACCGGTCACTGTCTGGGTGCTAATAGTTTTCGGATCAAGTGTCTTGGGCTTTGCAAAGCTAGTGGTGTGCTCCACATCCGCATCGATCCCATTGTTGCCGCTCTTGGAGCCGCCTTCCTCGTCATCGTCATCATGGGCGTCAAACTGGGGACTGTATTCTCCCTTTTTGATTTCACCAGACGCAATAACGCGGAACATGGCCACCTTAATCTGCCCAGTGGCCTCGGGGGGCTCGTCGTCATCCGAGGAGGAAAGCGAGGCATCTTCGTCTACGGCCTCGACCGGCCTGTCTTCGGATCCATACCTAAGGGTACCCTGCAGACGGCCCGAAGCTGCGTTGCCCTCGGAAATGGCCTTTTGCCTCCTACGGCGCTTCTCGAACTTTTGCCTGCGGCGCTCGAGCTTCTCGGCGGCGTCATGGCCTTGGAGATCCAGGCCGTTAAGCCATCTCTCAAGACCGACCTCGCGGAAGAGGAACTCGCGCTCGGCTAAACCTCCGCCTTCAGATGGGGGTACCTGAACCCACCTGCTATTGACCCAGGTTTCCTCGCCGGGGCGCAATAGAGTAGCTACTTCTTCCTTGGCCCTGCCGTCAAAGTAAATGTAGGCAGCGATGGTCTCGTTCTCACTATTCGTCATAGGAATGTAAGGAGCCACAACGCCATGGTACTTTCCGCGCTCGCCCGTGCTGGTGGGCATGGTGCCGACAAAGGCCGGCTTCGGATAGGGATTGTTCTCCGTGGCCTTGGGTGTCGAGTAGGGTATCGCCAGACCCGGGGTGAGCAGGGTGATGGAGATGGCGAACTTGGCGGCCTCGGGCTTGCCAGAGTCGGGGCTGATCTGGGGCTGAGGTACGGGGATGTAGGTGTTGATTCGCGAGACGCGGGACTGTTTCTGGATGCCATATTCGGGTAGGGGCGCTCCGTTGGCGTGAATGCTCACGGCAATGCCCTTGAAACAGGGCATTTTGTCGGTTGTCGTGCCTCGGCCAAGGGCCTATGTTGTTCTACGTGGGTGGACCTAAGCGGTTGATGTTGTGGGTTGTAATGGCACGGCCGGTCTCGCGAAGGTGGGAAAGCGGGGGAGACAGGGCGCGGGCACGTCGGCGGTGGTACGATGTTGTAACAAGAGAATGTATTCTTCGCGTTTCTACTGGTATAGCTGGTAAACGAGAAAAAGAGGCAAGCTGGGTGGTAGCTAGGTAGGTAGGTAGGTATGTTTATGTTTATGTTGTTGCGTAAATGGAGGGGCGTTGGCCGTGTTCGTTGCTTGCTGGTCGCTTGTTGCAGGCAAAGTGACGACAGAAACAGGTGTAGGTATCGGTAAGGGTGGGACGGATGGATGGGTATCGCTGGTCGGTACAGATAAGTTGTAATGCCTAACTGCTTGTCTGGAGAATGGAATGGGGCGGCGGCCCGCGTGCGTGACAAGAAGGCACGAGACGGGTCTGGTGGGCGCGCTTCGTTAGTTGTCTTGCTGGTTGGTCTACTTCTGCGATGGACAGTGGAGGATTGGATAGGATAGCAAAGTGGGCGCTGGCAGTAAGTGTTGAAGGAATGGAAGGGGTGCGAGTCTCGAGTTGGAGATGTATGTACACTTCTGTCTCCTTCTCTTTCGGGAGTAGGTAGGTAAGTACAAGCTACAGGCAGCGGGTTCGATTAAAACAAGAGGTGGAGAGGGGTTGGGCCGGTCCACGGTTCGCGCTTGACACGGCCACCGACCAAAACGAGGCGGTTAGTTGCTCACCTAATTACCTTACCTTACCTTACCTTGCCTGCCCTTGAAAACAATGAGGTGGTGCTAAGTACGGCAGGACTTCACTTGCACAGGCAGGCTTAAAGTTGGAATTCAATTCCTCTTGCACACCTTGGCAATTTCAAAGGTAGGTAGGCTACCTAGGTTTTATCCCATTTCGAATTTGCCAGATCAACAAGGAAACGCAAGAAACTCGAAGGTGGCCGATGCCGTGCTGCCTGCCACCTGACACGAACGAACCTGCCCCGAGCGCCTACCTATGTAAACTCACTCCCGTCCCAAGCTCACACAGCGCATGTCATTGTCCTAAAGCTCAGAAAAGAGAAATTGGATGATTTGTTCGTAACAAATCATTGATTGGTAGTAGTAGCCTACCAGTAATCATTATTCAGCGAGAAAGGCACCGTCATCGGTCCATTCGCAGCCTCAGCCAGACCAGGAAATTACAGATGTGACGGTTTTAATATGAGTCGGTTGAGGCTGAAGGAATGCCATTCAATCAATCAATCAATTTGAGCAGCAGCAGCTGGGGAGGGGACGACGAGGGGTCACGGTCGGTCGGTCGGTCGGTCGGTCGGTCGGTGATTGTCATCGATTGATCTGTTCTCAGTTTCTGGAGGGGAAGGGGATTGATTCCGAAAAAAAGTGGAGACCCCACCTCATCGTTTGTTAGACGTAGGTCGTTGATGACTTGGAAGCACGGGCCAACAATGCTATGCTGCTCACTCACTCAAAAGGTCAAGAGCGCACGGACTCTTCATCAATTGTTCCTCGCTTCATTCACGCACTCCTCCCTCAGAAACAGCCAAGCAAGCGGCTCGCTGGCGATGGATAATCACAGGTCACACAGCGAAAGCGCCCCGCTTTGGGCCTTTTCTCCTTTGCGGCTCTCAAGGCTGAGGTGGTCGTCGATGACAGGTACCAGATATCGCCAACAAGGTAAATCGAGATCCGATGTGTTGGCGTTAGGCTGATAGATAGAACTGTGTGTATCTGCCCAACATACACATAAGTTGATTCAGCAAAGCAAGGGGATAAATCATTGATCACATGTCAAGTCGTTGCGTTCGGGAGAAACATATCTCGATTTGGAGCAGACGGTCGATAGCTACGGTAGTCGTGATTGCTTTGAGCCAAAACGTCAACTTGTCGGATCATATAACTGAAGCATACGAGAATAAGAACCAAGCAATTTGTTATTCTGTACTGTCCCAAGCTCCAAGTCCTCCACAAGGTAGGTATGCTCCCAAACAATTGAAACTCCATCGAATAAGAGAAAAACAAAACGCCATCCATAACCATATGTAACCATACTTTCCATCCCTACCCCCCCAAAGTCCCAAGCCAGCCTAACAAGCCCTACAATTGCGTGCCTTCTTGCGAGCAACAGGAATCAGAGAACCATAGTCCGAGTCCTACTCCTTTCTCCTCCTCCTAGCCGTCAATCCACTGCTACTGCCACTGCCCACCGCCGTCGTGCTCGACACATCACTATACCCACTCGACCCAATCCCCGAATCCAGAAACTCGTGTCCAGCCTCCCTCACGCTCGGCAAGTGCACCGGCAAATCATACAAATCATCATCTTCCTCATCCTCCTCTTCCTTGGTCACCGCCCCACTCTTTTCCTTCTCTTCCTCCGCCTGCTCCTGCTTAATCCAAGGCTCATACTTGAGCGGCGGCGCCCCGAACCTGCTAGGGAACGTCCGCTCCGTGTCCGACATGCTACTACTCTCACTCGTCTCATGCTCCGGATCATAGCCATCACCCGTTCCACTGCCCTCATGTAGTCTCGCCTTTCTCTTGCCCTTGGTATCCCTCCCCATTTTGCCCTCCTCCCCTTCCTCTTCCACCGCACCGCTGCCGCCCTCCAGCATCCGACCCAACAAATACCCCCCAACCACCCACGCAACCACCAACGACACCATCTCCCCCACCCACACCGCCCACGTCCCCACTACAAAGCTGATAATCCGATGATGGTACATGAACCACCTCAGCCCGCCCAGCTTGGCCGTCATGGTCACTTTGGCATCATACACCTGCAACTTTTGTCCTGCCTGCACCTCCACCAGCAAACTCGTCGGCGACCCATCCCCCACCAACCCCAGCCTCGCCGCGGCCCTACCGCTGCGTCTAGGAAACTGCACCTTTTCCGCCAGCGGCACTTGCAGGGTAACCATCTCGGCGTGCTCGGGAAACAGGACGTGGTACCCCAGAAACATGACGCGCTTCGCTTGGGCTACCAGCGGGTCAATGTAGGGGATCACGGCTGCGCGAGTCGAACTAAACAGGATCTTGTTGCGCGTCAGATGGGAGATGGGGTCGGGCACGGCGGGCGGGATGGGCGTGATGAAGGACGCAATGTCTGGCCCGCCGGGTTTGCCGGTGAGAGGATTGTCGGGGTTGAGAGGCGGGACGGGAGGTTGGATGACGCGCTGGATTTCGGGAGAGCCGTTGAGGAGGTGCAGGGCGACCATGAAGTTGCCGGTTTCGCGGTAGACGTTGGTGGGAGAGCGGGGAAGGTTGAGGGTGACGGTGATGTCGTAGGGTTGGTTGGTTTTGATGTTGTAGGAGGTTAGGGGGGAGATGCCGTAGGGATTTGGGCCGTAGCTGTTTTGGTTTGGTTATCTTGTTAGTTTACGAGGGTTTTCGGGGTAAGGGAAAAGTGGGGGGGGGGGGGGGGGACAAACCCATATTGAAGATGTAGAGGCACGGTGGTGACCTGGGCGGGTAGATATCTGTTGTACCAAGAGATGTAGATGATAATGGCCATGCCGTAAAAGATGATGGACGCGGTGGTGCCTAGAATTGAGTAGATGACCGTCTTCTGGGTGGTCTTGGAGGTGAGGATTTCGTAGGCGAGATCGCATAGGGCATCTTTGATGTCGCGCAACTGTTGCTTGATCTGAGTATAGCTCTCCTGTGATTTGCGGTCTGTGTCAGCGCTTCGAAAGTGTCCCGTGGCTAATCAATCAATCAATCAATCAATCAATCATCACCAGCGACTTACAGAAACAGTGCCCAGCTCAAACTTGTCGAGCTCAGTATCGTCGTGGGCCGACATGGCGAATGATGGTTACCGGTGGTCGATATCGCCGGTTCGGGTTGATCTCTACACAGTCATGGGAGAGGAAAGAGAGTGAGTGAGCGGGCTCAGATGAGGGAACAAGGGATGGATGGATGGTTGGAACGACTTGTGATGGGGAAGATCAAATCCCACCCCAATATAGGTCGTCTTACTGCCCAGTTTCACATGTCGCGGGGAGTTCTTCCTCTCCCAAGTCTAAGCGAAACACCCAACTGAAATGTCCCCAATTGCAAGAACCGAGTTGGGCTGGCCGCTGATGTCACCAGGCGGGTACGTACCTGCTTGGCAAATGCCGGTTAAACTGTAGTCAAAGGGTTAGGGTAATGAGTGATGCATCGTTTGTTTACTATCGCGAAAGGGGTCATTGTGACAATCGTCAGCATACCTACGTGTAAAAAGTACCTTTCGATAGAGAGCATAACCGAATCCACTGAAAGACATGATATTCAGCATTCACTCTCCACATTTCCGTACCTACAAATCCCATTCTCTCATGGTATTTACAAATCTCAACAACGCCTCAAGGTATCCTGCTATAAACGAGTCAAGTTCAACAAGAAAAGAATCCAACATCAACAAGCGCTGGCTATGCATACACTCTCCCCTCACAGCACCTGCAAGTAATTGCTCGGCACCAACCCAACCTGTCCATTTCCACCATGCACCGTTGCCTCCCACCATCCATCATCCTGATGTCTCAGCACCGCCAGGATGTCGCCCTTGGCAAAGCCCAGCTCTTCCGCAATGGCCGCTTGGTACATGTACATCGCTTTCGCTGTTTCATCATGACCGTTAGCATTCCAATCTCTCCAATAATTGGCTTGCCATAGAGATAGAAAATAGAGAGAAAGAAACTCACCAAAATGAAGAATAACCCTCCCATCCCTGGTATACTGCCCCTGTCCACCTCCCGGTGGCGCCCCTCCTCGTGCCGCATCCACCACACTCCTACTCCTCCCGCGTCCATGCACTGTTCCGCCGCCGCCCGCCATCATTGAAGCCGGAACCATCTGTCCATCACCGTAGAAACTCATCCTTGTCCCCGTCATCGTCTCTCTATCTGGCCTACTAGATTGTGTGCCATACCGTCCGCGCATCGAGCTACCGCTCGTGTACCCATCATCCGGCTGCCCTTGCGCACCCGGTCCGTAGTGCGCCAATTGCATATGGTTTTGTGTATGGTCGAGACTCGATCCCGGGCGGTTGACTCCGCTGGTAAAAGGCGAAGGAGACACAGACCGGGCCATGTCCACCGGTGACACGGCGCCGCTCCCGCCACCAGCTTGGTACATGGTGGATGAAGACCCGCGGTAGTCCATGCTTCCGTGGCGCGTGTACTGCGTGTCTGAGCGACGAGGTTGTTGGCCTTGGGCCGGGATGCCCATGGGGCCCATGGATTGGGAGTGCGCGTGACGGCTGTTCATGCTCCCCGGGTTCGAGGAGCCGCCGTAGGGGTTGGGCGAGGCGGAGCGGTAGCCGCGATCGTCGGGCGCGTTGTTACCGGACCAGCTGCTGCCATAAGCGGCATGACTGCCGGGTCGAGGGGAGGCTGCACGAGAGCCAGGGCGGGGGCTGGCAGCGCGAGGGATCTCGGTGCTCCCGCCGCGGGAACGGCTTTGGTAGTTGGCGGAACCGGAACTGGACCGTTGGTCTCCTGCGCTGGAGCTGCCTCCGTTAGAGAACAGACTCCGCGTTTGGGCTTGGAATTTTTGGCTGGATTCCTTCATGGCTCGGCTGGTGACAGCGGGAGGCGGCACACCAAGACGTGAGACTGGTACCATGGCGCCTTGCATGCCGTCGTAAGATGGCGGAGGAGTGGCACGCGTGCCGTTGCTGGCGCCGGGGATAACGGGTGGCAAGCCCAAGTCACTGTTGCTTCGGCTGTGGTGCATGCTGTTAGAGCTGGCGTTGCGACCACCGGGGGAGACGTTGCCGGATTGCTGAGGACCGCCAGCACCAGGAGGAGCAGGAGTGGCGATTCCGTGGTAATGATCGGCTGACATGCGGATAGACATTTGCTTGTTCATCTCAGTCCGGCTCGTGCTGCTTTGGTTCCCAGTGTTGCTGGTGACGCCCTTTAACTCGGCCAACGCCAAGGCAATGGGATCATCGTCGGGTGCCGGTTGCTGTTGTTGTTGCTGCTGCTGACCCTTCCGCTTGTCAAGCGCATCGACCGCAAATACGTTTCCACCAATATTCAGAGCCAAGCTGGCATTAGCAGCAATGGGATCAGGGCTGACGGAACGTTCAATGCCGAGAGGTATGTTGTTCTCCTTGGTGGGACTAGCATTAGTCCGGGGCGTCCTGTTGCCCATGCTACTACTCTGTCCACTCTGTCCTCCATACCAAGTCTGCCTGCTCCCACTGCTCCCAGTGGCCTGCTGCTGAAGTTCCTTGGTACTCCTCCTCCTGAAAGGGCTATTGTTAGCGAAGAAACCACTCTTCCTCTTGGGCAATTCCTTCTTCTCGGGTGAGGCCGAGCCAGACTGTGCACCATTAGCGGGAACCAGATCGAGCGGGGTTTGCGGCGTCTGTGGTTGCTGCTGTTGTATTTGCTTAACAGGTGACATGGGTCCAGACTGTAGAAGCTGTTGTTGTAGCTCTTCCAACGTCGATTCGCTACTCTTGTCTCCTCTGCGAGAGGGACGGGCATTAGTGCTGGTTGATGGCACTGCGTTAAAATCAAGATCAGAAGAAACTGGACCTGGGGGACGACTGAGCAATGCCATGCCGTCCAGCGGGTGTGGACTATGCGGAATATGAGTAGAATCAGTTGCATCATACTCAGCGTTGTTGGCGGCGCGCGTATTCTGCGGAGCTCTTGCCACCTGCTGTTGCTGCCTCCGCTGTTCCTCGTGAAGGCTGTGCTGCGTAGTCCTCCTCTGCTGTAGCTGCGGTCTTTGTTGTACCAATTGTTGCTGCTGCTGCTGCTGCTGCGGTGGCGCCGGTTGTTGTTGTTGTTGTTGTTGTTGTTGTTGGGGAGGAGGGGCTTCAATCTGTTGTTGCTGAGGTGGCATCGTCAGTGCCGCTGCCGGAATGGTTGGAAGTTTGGACGGTGTGGCCGTGGTCTCGCGACTGCCGTTAACACCCACAGAGATATCATGGCCTAGCGTCTTCAACAAAGCATTGTTAGGATCATGGTGCGACTCGTATGTGCTAGGCTGTGGCGATGACGAGCGGAATGCTGGGTTGATGCTCCTGGGGAACTGGGCAACCGAGAAGGCGTCGGAATCTGGCTCGACCGAGATCTCGGATTGTGCATCGACATCACCCCGGCAAAAGTTGATGTACTTGGGAGGATCCGGAATTTCCTGACCGGTGCCCTTCTCCTTGATGAAAGTAGCAATATCCTTCTCGACCTCCATCTTCTCCAGTGACAACCGGATCTTCTCGCACGAGGCGTCATCGCTGACGCAAACCGTGGAGGCAATGTTAGCAAACGTCCAGAGACTGCTCTTGGTAAAATCCAGTCTCTCCTCCTCCAGGTCCTGGAACTTGTCAGCAGCGGCCTTCCATTCCTGGTTCCAGCGGGCGGTCGTCTTTTCGAGGGCCTTGACGGCAGCCTCGTAGTCGGCGTTGGAGCTGGCGAGGCTGATCTGTGTCTTTTCGAGTTTAGCCTTGTTCTTGCGTTCCTCCTGGCCCATGACCATGTGGCCCTGGGCGAGGTATCCCTTGATCTTGAGAGATTCCTGCTCATAGCGGTCTCTTGTTTTGTTCACAGCTTGGGTCTGCTGTACCTTGACTTTCAGCAACTTTTCGACGGTGTTCTGGACGATCTTGCGACGCTCCTTCATGGCGCCGGCGAAGGCAACGAGTGGTTCTTCGAGTTCGCTCCTCATCTGGACGGCGATGGCCTGGTGTTGCTTGCCCATGGATTCCACCTCTTGTCGGACGGTATCAAGGGAGAGTTTTAGGGTGCCAGTCTCTTGCGAACCGAGGGATTTGCGACTTAGATTGAGGAGCTGTCGGGAAAATTCCTCTTCGATCTTTGCCCGCGCTGTTGTGTAGGTAGTCAAGGTGTTAGTGCCTAGCTCTGTCCCGGGTTCCAGATGTTAACTTGTCTTGAGGCATACCTGTGTAGAAGCTCTTAAGCTCATCGCATGTCGTTTTGGCAGCGGACATGCGCTCGAGAAGAGGTTGGACACCCGCATCGTCCTTGCCCCAGAAGTTGTTGGCGACTGTATTTCAGTGTCAGTTAGTTTTCTCCCACCACCAATCATTCCCAATGTTTTCCGAGGAAGGCTCACAGGATAGCGCCACAGCCGGCGCTTCGCTCGTGGCAGCCGGCATCGCGCCTCTATTTCACACGATTAAAACAGGGCGCAGCTCGCGGGTATCTCTTTTGGGTTTGTTGGTGTTTGTTTTCTTTCCCGTCTCCCTATCGCACGCAACTCTATGCTTTATCGGTCTGCTTCTTTTGGCGGTGAAGAGTCCGTTCCTGCGTCTGGTGGTCTGGTACCTGCGTCTGGAGCAATTCCGAATCGTCGATCGTGGGTCGTCCAGACAGTCGTACACCAGGTACAATACGTACACCTGGGCCTATCCACAGCGGGCCGATGAGGCGCTTGTCGAGAAATGCCCAACCTCTTCGTGGACTCGTTTTCTCTTGATTCCTGTCTCTTGGGTTTCGGTCGGTCCGATTCGTTGTGACGTCGATGTTGTTTCGTTTCCCTTTGCTGTCCAACGTTCTGCCGGCCAAGTCCCTAGATCCAAGTCCCGGGCAGTGTTCAGTAGTTGTCTGTTGGAACCTAAAATGCCCCCTGGCCCTGGTTTACCGTCGCTGTCGAATGCTCCACGCTGCAATGCTGTACTCCGCCAATTCAAGGTCAGCAGTCGAACCATGCAAATGTTGGGTGCCTGGCGTATGTTGACAGCGCCGTCTTGAAAAAAAAGAAGAATGAATGATGGAATCGCGTCGCTGAGGAAAAGAAGGGGTTCGTTGTGCTGGCCGAAATAGCAAAAGCAAAAAAAAAAAGACAGCAGGGTACTTACTTCGACACCTGGCTTAGGTACCATTCCAGAAACCAAGTTCCATCAGGCTCCTCGACAGCTTCCAGGTGACTGATTGCCCGCTTCAGGTTCCTGCCAAGCACCAATTGGGTTGACAATTGTTGACTCTGCACTGGTTGCGGGGGGCAACAGGACGCTCTGCTTGGTTGGGCGGCCCCACGCTTCCCTGGGAGTGTCCGTTTTGGGTTCCATCCAACGTCAGGGGGGGTTGTTGATACTCCCTGAAAGGACAGCCCCTCCCCCAGGCTCCCTGGTCTCTCCATCCCGTCTTTTGTACCTCTGTGCGGGACGGCGCCATGTCGTCGTTGTCGTCCAGTTGGGCTTTGGATGGTTCAAGTTTCGAAGGCAATTTCTGGAAGCAAGGTCATTTCAGCCATTACCATGAGGGGATTGCCACAAGTGTCCGATATGGACCTTGATCGTTCCACGTCAGGTACCTTGGGCAGGTACGAAAACTCGGAATGGGGAATCGGGGAAATGGTTGCTTTTCCACGTTATGCTTTTCTGGAAGTTCAGATGGGAAAGAGTCAATGCTGATGTCATCACCCCGGCTCGAAATTCTCTCTCACGAAAAGCTCATCCACCGGATACGATACAAGTACGCAGGTACACCAAAGGACACAACAATGAGCAAGACAGGACGGATTATCAGTGGGTGAAATCATAATACGATCCCAAGTCGATTGACGACAACAAGAGAAACATCAAGTCTGCTCCGTTCGTCTCAAGTCCAAGATACTCTTCAACCTCAATGTGTCCTTTGCTCCCCATCCCCCCGGCCCGGCCTCGACATCCGGTCTAACTGCTACATACCACGCCCACGCCCTCTTATCCAGTTCAGCAGCCGTAAGATGGTCCCGCCAGCTATCAAACAACAACCTTAAAGCGCCCAGTAGCAGTCCTAGATTTTCCTCCCTCTCTGCTTCCAGCTGCTTTTGCGTCTTCCTGGTCTTTGTCTTTTTCTTTGCCGTCCCTCCTTCCTCAGTCTCCTCACCAGCATCAGCAGCCGAAGCCGTATGGAAGCTCCTCAACAGATAGTTCCTCGCCACCTCCGGCTTATGAATCTGTATCCCCACCACTCCGGTCCCATAGGTAGCCTTTTTGCCGCCCATAGACGTAGACGTAGACGTAGATGTAGCCGAAGCCCCAGAACCCCTGTTCTGCATCCCCTCAATATCCAACCCCCAAACCGCCTCCCCTCCCGCACTCAACACCTCCCCGCCCGCCTTCCTCCCCCGCTCATTCAGCGCAGCAGTCACCACATTCCTCATCAACCGCCACCGGTCGGGCCCGAGCATCGTCCCGCCGTACCAGCGCGTCATCACCACCAACGAGTCTTCAATGTCCAGCTCGCGCAGGATGCGCAGCATCAAGTCGCCGGCGCCTTGCTCGCCGTCGTCAAAGGATCTCTCGATGATGCGGTCCGGCATCCTGGCGTCGCGGAGCCGGTAGGCCCACGCGTTGTGGGATGCTGATTCGAGGTTGGGGTGCTTGCGCATAAGATTGTTCAGGAGGACTTTTTCTTGGGCTTGCTTGGTGATTTTTGTCGAGTGGGCGAGGAATTTGGAGTCTTTGGAGGTGACGGGAAGGCCGGACGAGGACCAGTGGATGTCGTCTGGTTGAAAGAAGGGGTGGACGCTTTTGGGTGGTGGTGGTTGTGATTTGACGTCTTCGTCTTTCGGCTCTGTTGAGGATGACTGCGCCGTGGTGGTCTGTTGATTTTCTTCGGCGGTACTTCCCTTTTCCTCCTCGTCCTTCCACTCGTAACCCCCTCTCTTTAGCACGGGAACCTCCCTCCCCATCACTCTCACTCGTGGCTGGCCTGAACCAATCAACCCTTCATCTTCGGGATTGGGTCCTTTGGCAGCCAGACCAATGCTCACGGCTTTTGAGCGCGAGTTGGCGCTGACTACAGCTTGTCCCAGACTCAATCGAGAAGAAAGTGGCTGCTCAGGCATTGTGTAGCGCAGTAGTTCGACGGCAAAGGCAAGAACGAGGGGGGCGCGGTTGGTCTCCAGGACGGTTTGCGAGATGAGCTCTTCGTCTAAGCAGATGGGAAGTTCGAGTGAGGCTTCCAGTTCTTGAGGTGTGAGCTCCTCGCCGAAAGCACGAGAAGGCATCAGTGGATTGTCGTCATGTCTGAGGCGTTTGGAAGGCAAGCTTGCGGTTGATAACGGGGCACCTCGCTTGGTACCCGCTGGGCCTCCGGCGCTGGCTCGCTTCATGGCTGCTTTGCAGGCATTCTGAAGAGACTTTGCTGTCTTTTCATCGTTCAAGGCTGTTTTGATGGTGTCTAGAGGAGCCTCGGCTATTTGTTGGATGCTAGTAACGTGTAAGTGACCATGTCTGAAAGAAGTGTGATATCATCCCGTGATGCTGGTTTGGTGCTGTGAGCATAGGAAACGTGAATATGGAAAATGCGACTGATCTACCTCCTGATATCAACTGCTTGTAGAGACTTGATCTGGGCCATGGCTTGAAGCATTGGAGTCTTGCGGCCAACCGTGAGGAGCCGCAGGAGCTCTTGGAGGTCTTGTTGTGCTGACATGGCAGCTGGTGTGTTTCTTTGTACTTTTGCTTTCGATTATCCCTCTAGTGAAAACGCTGAATTTTGATACCAAATTAAGAGGAGAGAGAAGTGCAAGTAATTGAATGTTTGTTGTCAAGATGATGAGTGGCCAAGGTGGTGACGATCCGGGCATCTGGGACGAGATCGGGTTGCACCCCCGGGCCTGTTCCAATAGCGTCACTGCAGGGCGCACTTTAGTGCACCGGCGGATGCTTGGCAGCCATTACAGAAAAATGTGGAGCCTCTCATCGAACACCAGAACGACTTTCGAAGCTTCCGAATCTGCGATCTTCTTCAACCTAAAACTCTGGGGCTTCGAGTACGGGAGCTAGCCTTTTTGGGAACAACGGCTGCTGAGGCTTGTGACTCTGAGACATGCAATAACAATACGGAATACACTATACCACCATCCTCACCAGCCCGGAGAGGAAACTGAGATCTCTCAAGCTCCTCCCTCTCAACTCACGCACACCATCACCATCACTACCACCAACCACCATGGCAACAAGGATACCACTCTCCTTTAGGGGAGCCTCCCAACGCTCATCTCACCTCTTCCTTATATCCAACCGCCTCACCCTCACCAGGGCCTTTACAACTACCTCTCTCCTCGCCAAGTCCAAAAAGCTCCCTCCGCAACCCCCCAAGGCGTCCAAGCTATCCAGGCCATCCACAACCGCCCAACCAATCCCAGAAGTAACCCCCGAACCACAATCAGAAGAACCTCCCAAATCCAACTCCAATGCCCAGGACCTCGGCACCCTCCTCCAACAGCGCAGATGGCCCCTCCTCTTCTCCGGCCTCACCGCCCTGATCATGGGCGCCTACATCTCCATGCTCATCGCCTCTCTCTCTCGGGGTCCTGATGCCTGTTCCCACGTCGACCCCGCGACCGGCCAACTCCCCGTGACCGGCCGTCCGCGCGAGCTAGACTCTCTGACATCCAACCCCGTCGTCAACGACCGCATCCTGCGCGAGAAAGCCATGGCCTTCGACAACGGGCTCAACATGCCCGAGCGCGTCATGGGTATCCGGCTCCTAAGGAAATGGCTGGGCACCCGCGTAAAGGGCCACGTGCTGGAGGTGGCGGTCGGCACGGGCAGGAACCTGCAGTTTTACGACTGGACCGAGGTGGTCAAGGGGCCGGTTACCGGGCGGGAGTTGACGGCGGAGGAGAAGGGGGAGGAAGAGGAGAAGGCCAAGGAGAGGATCAGGAGCGTTTTGGATCAGGGAGGGAAAGATGAGGAGAAGAAAAGAGATAAGGATTGGGTGGAGAAGATGAAGATGCCGGGCGCGCTGGAGGGCGAGATGCTCACGTTCACGGGAGTGGATATTAGCGAGGGTATGATGGGCGTCGCGAGGCAGCGGTTGAGAGAGAATGTCCCTGGAGGAAAGCAGTTGGTGCCCAAGGGCGCTTTTTTGACGTCGAGGGAGGCAAGTGAGAGCAGGATTGGGGAGGGTAAGAGGGGTGAGGGGCAGGAGGTGCTGCTCAGTACGCTGGAGGATAGGATCAGGCTGGTCAGGGCGGATGCCGAGGCTAAGCTGCCTGAGGCGCCTGCTTATCCCGCAAGGGTTGGGGGTGAGAAGGAGGGCAAGTACGATACTGTCGTCCAGACCTTCGGCCTCTGCTCGGTTTCTAATCCGCTTGCCTTGCTGCAAAACATGGCGGGTGTGGTCAAGCCGGATACCGGACGCATCATTTTGCTGGAGCACGGAAAGGGTTGGTCGGATTGGATCAATGAGAAGCTGGATGCTTGGGCACCTCAGCACTTCAGCCGGTACGGCTGCTGGTGGAACAGGGATATTGAGAAGTTGGTGAAGGAGGCGGAGCAGAAGGTGCCTGGATTGGAGATTGTGAAGATCGAGAGACCTGGGTTCTTCCAGGCCGGCACTACTGTGTTGGTGCAGTTAAAGGTCAAAAGCCAAGGGAAGTAAAAGAAGAGACTACACGTCGCATAATCCCTCTGCATCCTGGCTGTACCGTTGTATATATATGTGTATAGTGTTCCTGTATGTGTATAGGACGAGTCCCGGTTGTTGCTGGTTTCAATCCGCGGTACGACCGGCGTCAACCAGTTGCCCCCGCCCGCTGCGGCGAATACGTCGTACAAGCTGGAATCCAGAAGCATTCATGCCTATTGAAATTTAGGTACGAATTTGAGTCGGTCTTGCCGCAGTGTCCCTTCTGGGCGATTCGGACAATATCTCCACGTGGATCTTGCGAATCAGAGAAACCATCTTAAGATCAGCTTTTCTCGTCTAAGCTTCCAGAGAGCACATTACAGAAAGTAAGAACTCCCCCATTTGCATTCTTAGCTTCCGTACCCAATTCAATACGATCGAGACTCACACCGAACACGCGTGTGAACCTACCTATCATAGCAAGGGCAGGATAATCTATTCCTTGAAAATGTAAGGCACCTACCCAAATCTTGAACTGTCCCAAAGGCCATCTCGTCTCTCTCTCTCTCTCTCTCTCTCTCTCTCTACCAAAGATTTTACACGAAATACCTAGAGGTACCTACCTATCAATATCTATCTTCAGAGTGTAATGCTCTCCCAACCAATACCAGTACGGAACACTCGAGCAGTTTCAAAGTACCCTATCTTAGAATATAAACAGTTTTCTATCTTCCTCGAGACATATACATCGAACTTACTTTTGCAGTCTCACGATATCCGTGTACAGTTGATGTCATCCCGTTTCCCTTTGTGTCTGTCATGTTGACACGTACATTTGTATTCCAGGGCTCAGACCAAGGCCCAAGTGCCCACCAAGTCAAGGTCGGTTGTATAGGATAGATAGGGGTAGTTAATCAGTGACTGGCTCATCTTCATCTTGTGCATGCTAGACACTAGTGACAAGAGTAACCATATGACAGGCTGAGTAGGCGAGGGGAATGGCGATGTATATTTTACTTTGGGGGATTAGTTCAGTTGTAGTGCAGCAGTTGTTTCTTCTAAACGAGGTTGCAGTTGTTCTAGAGTCGGTCTGGTCTAGTTGAATCGGTCCCGAAAGGGATATAGACAGATTTACACACGAACGGTACACTAGACTTAGTTTTGGTAGGTAATTCGAAGTTCGTTGTAGGGTTGCCCTTACAACACACTACGTAAGCTTGTTTAATACTAACCTAGCTTTCTAGTATAGTTGTAAGAGGTGATACTCGAACCACGACATTGAATGACACCAAGCATCGTAGCATAGGACCGAAATTATAGGTAATATAGCATATGTTGAAGACCAACCCTTCCTTCTCTTGTCTCCCTCCACACACATAGAGAATTGTGTTACATATCTCAGCATCTCCTCTCATCCCAGCCTTGTTCCCAACATTGACATATTCGTTTCACACTTCTATACCATATCCAACCTTCCTTGAAGCTTGAATTCCCATACCTATGCTACTTGCCTACCTCCACATGTCGTACTCGTCAAGCCTGTGGAACTCCAAATCCCATGCATCCTACGCATTGTATACTAGTCATCTAATCAACAAGCCTTCCAAAATCCCAACCCCAATTTCGAGTTTGTACCTCTAGGTAGGCACCTAATGCATGTCAGATTTCGTCCAACCCACACCACACCACACCACACCCATCGTCAACGTTCCTTCTTCCTCGACCAGATCTACTCAGTCTCCCGTCCCGTGTAAGTGATAAGATAGTAAATGGGCTAAAAACACTCACTCCATCGTGACTGAATGGCTGGCCGTAACCGCTACACTACACACCAAAAGCAAATCAAAGACGGTAGTATGATTTTTTTTTTTTCTTTCTTTCTAGTTGCAATGTGCTGTTTTCCCCTCTTTCCCACTGTTAGATAGTTTCTACTGAATAGAGGGATTGATTGGTTGTATCATCATAGCGAGCGTAACAGTTTATAAGCCGTAAAGAATTAAGGGGGAGGGGGGCGGGTATCTGGGCTTGAGATGGAAAAAAATAAGAAATTGAGAAAGAAGTTGGACAAAGTCACACCCACACACCCACGCACAACACCCACACACCACACCCACGCACAACACACACACACACACACACACGGCTGGCTGAGATGTATTTACACTACAACAGGCTGAGACGGCTCGTATGTGAATGGGGTTGATTCTGATAGGATATAGGGAAATTCTATGACGGTAATGTTTTTTTTTTCTCTTCTCTTTTCTTTTTCTTTCCCTTCTCTGAATAGCCCGAACAAACGGGAGCACTGTTATATTTTCACTGGCTGGCACGGCTGGCTGGTTTCTTTCCTCATTGATGGGGATGATAGGATTGGTTGGGATGGATGGCTAAAGCTCGAATCGTTAGGAGCGACGAAGGTTTATGTAAACATGGAGGGCCGGGGTGAATCATAATGATACTGTTAATGTACACTACTACCTAGTACTGGCACCGGTTTCGGTACCGGGAGCTTTAGTTTGATCCTGTAATTTCTGGAATGACTCGATGCGTGGTGGTTGGTCGTTTTGAGGGTTGTTAAAGCAGGCTGGAGGAAGGTGCAGTGGTGAGGTTGGCGAGCAGGCGAGGTAGGCACGTAGGGTCAAGGAGGGGTAGGTACAATGAAGAAGGAAAGAGGCTTGGGATATGGCAAAGAGGGGTGACTGGCCGCCCGTTGGTGGCTTGAAGGCCCGAGGTTGGTTGTCCGTTTGTTACGTGGTGACGTTGGTTGTCGTTGCGGCTTTGGGAGCTCGGGAGGTGCCAATCAGACGGAGCAATAACAGTTGACAAGAAGAAACTTGAGGCTTATTTGTGGTTAAAGTGAATGTAAGTAGCTTCTTGCATTGGTATCACTACCGGAGTGATGTAAAGAAACTCGAAGCGATCTTCTCAGACATTCGAGATATAGTAGCGAGGGACTCGAACACATGGGAACTCAAACAGCTGTAAATACATTTTCTACATATGTAGGGACTTCTGCTGCCTGCTGCTGGATGTATGTACTGCATAGTATGTATCTCGCCCGGCCCACGTTCATCGCGGTAACACAAGAAACAGGCAGATAGGGATTGTCGATGTCATTGCCTAGTTGACCTGAACACACCGTTGTTTGATACGCCGGCTTTTAATTTGAACGTCAGATTCCTGTAGAACCACGGAACAGGCTGACTTGCAAACGAAATGCTTTGCTGGTTGGCAGTGACCGAACCGTGAAGAGAGACAAACAACTTAACAGACGGCGGGAGCTGGGTCCTGTGACATGTGGATTCCCTTGTGAGATGGCTGATTGATAACGCATTGAACGCCTTGCATTTTACAGCGCGCGCGCGTAATGCATTTCCACGTTGCTGGCAGAAAGGGGTCCGTCGGGTGTAAGTATCGATAGCGGATACTTTCAGACTGTTGAACACTGAAACTGAGAGAGATGGCTGATTGTGCCCGTTAGGTAAGGTACCTAGTTTTTCTTCATTCAGTCGGCTCCTCTTGCCTGCTTCTGCGGGCTCTTCTTGCTGCAGTAGTGTAAAATTTCGTTCGGTCTTGTCTCCGTAATTCCATGACCCATGTGTGGGTGGAAAATCCAGACCCCCCTCTCCTCCCCTCGGGCCTTGACGGTACTGACAGTGCAACTGACTTTGATGCAAGGGCAAGAACGCGCAAATGAGGTGGGATTGTGGGAAAAGAGGGCCTGGCAACAGAGCCGCCGCGCCGTTGATTCTAGCTTCAACTTTGTTTTCTCGCTAGCCATGTGTCGTCAATGTTCCTTTTTTGGGTTCTGATTCTCATCCACAGATGACCGCAGATTCGGGACGGGATCGAGATGTCTGAACTCTTGAAGCGCTCCTTTGCTGGCTTTGGCCGCACAGACTGCAAGCGACGACCAGACGAAAGAGGGGTCCGACCAAAAGAAGCAACTCAGCGTGTGTTTGGAGAGCTTTAATTGGTGAGCATGAGTTTCCACCTGCAGACGGTTTTTCTCCGCTTTGGATCCGCTTGGACAGTGCGTTGAGTAAAAAGCTTACTAGATGCACCGTCAACTTCAGTTCCGTGTTCCAGTTCCCTTCCAGCTTTGAGACGCCTGGTTCCGTCATGCCTCGCAAAGCACGTGAGACGCCGGCACTGATGGGATCACTCTGTTATTTTAGGTTTACTATCATTTGATGGGCCCTCGATAACGTTGTCCATCCGGTGGCATCAGCGACGCCCAAGAGAAAACAATTGAAGAAGCGATACGCCGACGCTGGAGGCGGGGCTACACTAGATCGTGGTGAGATGAGGCAAATGAGGCGCAACCAGACGACGTAACCGTAGCAATGGACCCCTGGAGGATCAACCGACGGCAATTGTCGCAAACGACCGACATCGTGGGGCCGGGCTCTGGGGGCTGCTGAGTGAACCGGAGTTTGTGGCGACAGGACGGACAGAACTCAAAGAAGGACGAATGGTCAGCGGCCTTCTGTTCCCGCTGTCCGGAACCCATATCAGCCTCCCCAATGCGCTGCAGCTCTCAGCTGATAGCGATGACAAAGCGTGGAATTGTTGAACTTTGCCATTGTGAACCACAACGAACTGGGGTATTATTAGCAGGTGGGTATCCAGCTTCTTCTTCTTCTCTGTTGGCTGCCGTGCTGAAAACCTTACGCAGCAGTGCAGTTTTCGGAAAGACGGAGCGGAGAAATACCATTTTTTCCTTCCAGGCACAGGCATCTGCCTTTTTTCCATTTTTTTTTTTTTTTTTTTCCTTCCCTTCTGTGTTCAGTGGGGCATCTTTGTTTTGGAATTGAGAACGGTTCCGAAAGAAGTGGGGCAGCCTCATGAATTTTCCGCTGAACGATGCACTGCCATTCGACCAACTCGAGTGTAGCCAGCTTCGCGGAGATCCATTCTGGAAACCCACCTGCATTTGTTCATCTCCATCCAAAAAGGACCCAGAGAGGAGCCCGAAGACCCTGAAAAAAAAAAAAAAAAAAAAAAAAAAAAAAAAAAAAAGGAGGGAAGAGAAATGAGAAGGGCCAAGGAGCAAAAGCAGAAGGTGCAAGACCGGAATGGCTCGATTCTTTGTCTTCACCTCGGTTGAGCTGTCTCAACCCGGGAAAACTTTAAATCACTACATCAACTTGAACCAACCTTTGAAATGTCACAACTGGCTTTCATGAGGTGGGGGTTTCGTTGTCGTCACTGATCAACACTGTCAGTGTAGGGTAATAATGGCCAATCTGTTTTGATAGTTGCGGCTGCTGTATGGTGACGATGGAGAGCCACTGCAAAGCATCATTTCTGAGGGGTTTACTGAACATACTTTTCCCAGTCTTTGGGAATGTCGTCAGGTCTTGTCATGTCTGCCAGAGTCTCTTCGCTTCGGCTTCTCTGTCCTCTGGTAAGTACGTTCGCCGTGCTCGCGGATCCTTCGGATTGGCTTTTAACTTTGTGCAATGCCATTGGTACACTAGTAGAGAGCGTGCCGCCACTCCGCCAGCCAATCGTGGACCCCAGAATTCCAGATCGGATCTAGTTCATCGTGGGTCAAGGTTCAACGTTGGCGTGCGGTCGTGCCGTCTGCCTGTTTTTGGCTCCCATCCATGGATTGATGTGGTTTGAGATGTGGTCATGCTATGCTGGTGTTGTTCGGTGCTATCATGTTTGTAGCTAGACAGCTGTATGTGTTGTTCAGTGTATTTCCTTGTCGGAGCGGGCAATCGCGCTTAACATTCCCGTCATGCGAGTTCGATGCGATTTCTGGTGAACGATTGACATTTTCATTTTCCTTCTTCGGTAGAGGTGCAAGTCGCGTTGCTTTCGGTTATGTACCTACTCTGCAGCGCTTTCAAACACTGGCAGCTGCTGTTGCTCCTCTTTCTTCCGCGTGCCTTTCGACGCAACTTTCCACTTTTCTGCTGCAACCTCTCAATGCTGCAGTGGGTGCTGTGCTGCTTCTCACCAGCTGCTGCCAGTTACGAGTACCAGTTGCATTGGATCTATTACGCGTGTAGGGTACACTCGGCAGGTTGACCCCACACTGCTTAAGTCCAAAAATCCACATCCACACCCATTGCCTGTCTGTGGATCCTTACCGCCTTTTCGAGGAAAATGGTGTACTTTCATTGGCGGATCTGATGTGTTTAGCCCTCACTTCTCCAAACTACCTAGGTTCTTAAGCTTGGTCGTTCTTGGCTTAGGGTAGGTTCAACGCCAACAGACACACCCCCTCCCCCTGTCCTGTCGAGTGTCCATGCCCCTCTGTCCACGGCAGTCTAGGTGAGTCTTAGCTGCTGTCTCGAGTCGCCAGCCAGTCGCCCCCTTCCATCATCGCAAGATGGGTTGCACTCCGTCCCGCACGGCACAGCTTGAATCCCACTGTACCCCCCCCCCCCTTGCCCCCCTTCGCCAAACGGCAATGCAAAGAGGGAACAAGGAGAAGAAAAAAAAAAGAAAAAAAAAAAAAAGTGACGGGCGACGCTTTTCCCATTGCGCGTTCCATCCACACCAGCGCAACGGTACTCAACCCACCACTCGTGCCACTCACCTGGCACCCATCCATCCATCCATCCACCATTCTGCCATTTCCACTGCCGTTCGCAGGTGCTTCCATCCCGTCCCTCCATCATTTTCTTGCACTGTCTCTGTCTCTTCGTTGTCTCGTCTTCCCTAGGTCTCTTTGCTGTTGTTGTTGCTGCCGAGTGCTCATCACTCACTCAGTCCTCTTCCCCCTCCATAACAGATAGACTCCCCCCCCCCCCCCCCTTCTCCATCATCCGCCACCACCGTCGTCTCTGCTCTCTTTCTTCTCTCCCTCCCTCCTTCTACTCCTCTTCTCTTCAAATTTGTTGCAAAAACGCTCATCAATCTGAATCGTGGTTTGGATAGCTATCGTCTTCGGGAGAGAAAAGGGTTATTTATCATATTCTTGTTATCTACTATTTTTACAAAAGAGTTGTTGGCGACTCCAGGCAAGAAAAAAAGAGACTCATCCTCCTCTTCACTATCTTGTCTGCTATTCGTGCACGTTCCTTGTTGGCGTGGTTCAGAAGCAAAGCATTGTCGATCTCGTCAAGTCGTCACCACCACCATCCCATCTCGACAAAACCAAGCCTTCCGCGCCCTCCCTCCCCCAAAACGAGGCACCCTCACGAGCCTCCTCCTTCTTCTCCAACATCTCCAACACGACTGTGAAGCAGGTGTCAAGCAGTTGTTGACGATTCTACGCACGCCTTGCTCACGCATACGTTACTCTTAGCCTGTAACATAATCAGTCTCAGCTCCAAAAAGCCGTCAATCTACGACCACGCACTCCTTGTCTACTTCGTTTCTAGACTACCGCAACCATGCCTTACAACACCCGACGCAAATCCCTCTCCTTGCCCTCGCTCGGCATCCACGTCCCGGTCTCCAAAGACTCAAGAGCCGCCGCTGCCGCAGGCAAAGCCTCAAAAGAACAAAAGGACTCTTCTCACACCAGCTCCCACACACGATCAAACACAGCAGCAAACATGGCCTCGCCTACTCCTTCAAATACAAGCAGCTCGAAAGCGGAGTCTACCTCCTCCAAGAAGCTCAAGCGCACCCACAGCGCTGTCGAGACCGAGGGCCGCGCGCATCCGTCCGAACCCCAACAGAAGAAGCGTGAGGAGCGCGAGACTGTCAGGTTTCAAAACACACCCCCTCCCTCCCCCGGCGAGGCGCGCCAATCTGTCGAGTGCGACGATCCTCCTAGGCCAATTGACTTTGAGGCTATCAATGATGACATCGTCGAAGCCGTTATCGTCCAGCTCCAAAATACCGGCAACAGGCCGCACTTGGTCAAGGAGCTTGCCGCAGTCTTGATGCAGCAGTTGAAGATTGTTCAACAGTGAGTTCACCTTCTGCCAATTGCCGTTGCAAGAATGTTGTTTCGCTAACTGGTCGTGCTTCTGTCAGATCTGCCAACCCATGTGCCATCGTTTCGTCTCGCTTGTCTACATTCCTCAAGAGGACGTGCTGGAACGTCTCGTCTCCGTGCCCAATTGCCAAGGAGCTCGAGTCTGTTCACCCGCGCCGCACATATTTCTATCTTACCACATGCCCCCACCAGCCGCTCCCCGACCCGGCTCAGGCGGCTGCGCTAAATCTTGCCTCGCGCGCTATCATCTCGCCTAGCATCTCAAGCGCCGCATCAGGGACCGATGAGTCCGACCTGGACCGACGACGTGAGCTTAGCCCCAGCCCCGAGGTGGATCTCTCGAGCCCCGAGTTTGACGACATGGAGGACGACGTCCCCATGCCCAGCACACCAATTGGCTCATTCTCCACACGCTACTGCTTGTCCGGGGCCCACTCCTCGAACAACAGTCAGAACGGCCGCAATCACCGCGCCGTCTCTCCTCCGCTTGAGAAGGACGAAAAAGAGTTCACACAGACAGCTACTGGCCTCCAAAAACGGAAACTCAACGGTGAACTCTCCGCGTCTTCCCCTGTGAACACCGCTATGGACATTGACTATTGCCCCAAGGATGACAATGTGTTGTTCGGTGAGCGGACCTCGTATCTTACGAGTCCTGCGATGAAGCCATCCTCGACCATGATGTCCTTGAACTACGGCCGTAAGGAATTGGGCGGTACGAGTGAGTCCGAGAGCTGGCGCAAGCTCGATGCGATGCTCGAGTGGGATCGCAACCCAGAGAACATTGAGCTCGATGAGCTTGATTGCCTCCTGGATGATTTCTAAATCTCCTTTTTCCCACACCATCTTTCTCATGACTATTTCTTTACGACTGAAGTCGGGATTTCTGGGCAACTTCCAAGTCTCGGAAGTCAAGCTATGTGGTGCAACAGCGCAACGTGTGTATGATTGAAGCAAGTGTGTGCGCTACCAACAGATCATTTTGATGGGGTTTTCACAGGAGTTCACAGGGGGGCTTACAGGGGCATTCACGGTTTGGTTCATCCCATAGACGAAGCTGGGTCACGAAATGGCGTTTATGACTTTCAGCTGATGTGGGCATGTCAAGGAAGGTGTCAGACGGTTGGCTTTTTGAATATTTCTTTTTGCTTTCACGGGATCGATGGAAATCTCCCCCATTGCACTTATTTGGTTTACAACAAACTCCTTTGGGATTATTCTGCTCCTTTTTTTTCCCCTTTTTTTTTGGGTCAGTCATCCTTGCCAGTAATGGGAGACGGAAGGATGCCGCGTGCACCTGGGAATGGTGCCGTGATGAGGAGAGAAAAACACGAATGGCCTGGATACCTAGGGATGGATTTTCATACATTAGGAGGACGGAGATTGCGTTGTCAAGCGAATACCCTGGGCGCAGCATGTCGTCGAACACTGCGGCCCAACCCACTTCTTTTTCGAGTCTCTTTGCAACAACAGACAACTGGGTTTTTTGGTTTAATTCCACGGTTGCAAAGAGGCGCAGCAAGGCCAGTCAAGCGTATGAAAGGAACGAAAGAAGATGGAAAGTTACTAGTACTTTCCGGATTTCCTGCCCCTTTCTCGAGATATAGAGAGCGGGCAGTATGTGGTGATACACAAAAGGGAAAAGCCAGAGGATGAGATCAGAGAAGAGAAAAATAATCATGTTCAAAGATAGACAAGAGGACAAGAAGGAAAAAAAAATCTCGGAGAAGAGAAAGAAGGTGATTGGATTAAAAATAAAAGACAGATCTGGAGTTTTTATATACTACTGCTAGAAAGCTCGACTCATTCCTATATCTAGAAAGAAGACAGGCGCTTCCTATTTCGCTGCTACCTTTTTTGTTCAATACCCAACGATGACTGTGAATCATTCAATGTTCGGTGCTTGTATATGATACACATGCTGCCAACTAACCGACCTCTACCAAACCTTGTCCTCAAGATTTGGACGGGTCGTCAATAACGAATAAATGATGGACCCTGACATCAATCAGTACTTTACGGGAATCTGCAGATTCACAGAGAGAGATTCAGGGGAGTACGGTATCTCGCACTGCATCAAATGAAGTGTTACACAAAAGAGCGAGATCCCGTTCGTGTGCGGTACGTCTTCTACCCTAACCTGCCCTCCGCCCGTGAATTATTTGGTGGTAACTCGGGCTGGTGCTAGTCTTGGTGCTGCTGGTAGAGGGAGGAGACAAATCCAATCACACTTAGACTTCTATGATGAAATCGCCTGCCTACCTGTTTCTCTTTCCATGAATGGATGAATGGATGGATGGATGGAAAATCCATTACTTAGGTAGAGTATCATTTAGGGGAGGGAGCTCTTACTCAGGAAGTTAGTTTGGAGTTGGAGTTGTTCAATAAGAAGGTGGTGGTGGTTGGTGGCTTGATGTCAATCAAACAGATCAGATCAGATCCGATCAGATCAGATCAACATAGCGAGGTGTAGTAGGTACTTGTGTCTGGATGTCTAAATGTCTGAAATCACAAAATTCATCATGGGCTGTATACAACGAAGGAGGTAAAAGGTAGATGGTTTGGTAGAAGGTAAACAGTATAGTAGACGGTATAGTAGACGGTAAGTAGTTGAAGCGTAGATGGGTATATATATATATAAATGGTTACTATACTTAGCTGGTTGGCTATGTCCAGAGTGGTAGTCTATGGTAGATGACTCTGTAGGCATGGACAGGGTCAACGTATAACAATTTTTTTTTTCTCTATACACACAAAAGAAGCTATCGAGGGATTAATTAGTAGTTAGTTGGTTTTTTTTTTTTTTTTTTTTTTTTTTTTTTTTTTTTTTTTTTTCATTATGTGATATTTACTTACCTACCTAGATGTATGTGCCTACTTACATATCCATCTATCCATCTATCTGACTAACCTTTTATCAGGTTAACATTCTTCTTGAGAGTTGATGGGAGAAGAAAAAAAAGAACAAGAAAAAAGTTATAATGGGAGAAATATTTGTTGATTTTCTGTCTGGTGGCTTAGCTGAGATTGATGAGAGTGTAGATAGGTATGTAATGAATGTACAATGAACCGACCCTTTGAGATATATATGAGGCCCCTCGTTATTTTAGAGAGACGAAAAAGCAAAAACGGAGAAGACAAAAAAAGAACGGCCGAGCACGAATCATTACACGTGAAATGATCATCGCAAAAGTACTACTGGCAGTAAAGTATCAACTGAAAAGCTGTACTACATACCATTTTGAATCCTTACATATCAACCATTACCTCCTAACCCCTTTCTCTTCTTCTCTTCTTCCCTCCTTTTCTCAGCGAGTAGAACAAGGCGAAACGGAATTGGAACACAGTACCGAGTATAACATTATAATCTCTATTCGCTTTTGTTCCAAACTCCTATTATTTCCGCTTTGTTGGTGTGAGATTATATCCATGCTAATTACATACATCACTCACCATTCCATACTTTAAGCTTCTCCTGGTACCCTCCCCTCGCGCCTTGTCTACTGCCCTCTTCCGCCACCGCTGTTGATCGTCTGTCAGCACTAAAATCTCTGATTCTGCTTTTTCGGGTTGTGTCTGCGTCTCCGGCCTCGGCTTCTGGCTTCTGGCTCTGGCTCTGGCTTGGAAAGAGGTTTCCAAGACCACCGTGGCCAAGAGACCTCTGGGGGCGGCACATATCTCCACCCTAGCTCGACTAATGCGTCTCTGCTGCTCCATGGGCCCAGTGGTATAAACGAGTCTCCATATGAGGACATTAGGTCTCCATCATAACAACTTCGGTATATGCAACCTAGCAACAATCTCCCCAGCGAGCCCTGGATCGGCGGACGGCCGAACCCCCATCTCATCTGCTCCCCATCGGTTATCGAGCGGTTCTAGTGCTGGCGAACCTTATCCTCAAACACTCTCCGCACCTCAGGGGTGGCCTTGATGAAAGGCAGCTCAAAGAAGTTGTACTTCTCGTTCTTGACCAGCTCCATGGTGGTGATGATCAGACCCCACGGGTACGGCCAGTAGCCTATTAACCGTTCAAGGAGGATCCGAACAATCTGCTGCCGAATGTCCATCTCCTCAGGATCCGTGGAGGCGACGTCGTGGCCAAAGAAGTCAAGGAAGACCTGAATGAAATAGTGCGTGTGGGCGCTGGTGAAGCGGAGCCAGTTCGCCATGCTGTTCAGAACGAAGTACCTCGTATCGGGGGAGAGTTCCGTGATGAGCATTTGCAGTGTCTTGAGGTCTTGTGCGCCCGGGACAAACACAGAGGCGTCGTTCCTGGTGGCGGCGCGGTTGACGGCAAAGTTGCCAATATGCGTGATTACGGCGTCGATGACTTGACGGTTGACGTCAATAGGGACGAAGCCATAGTCCGTCGTTCCGCTACCAGACCTAGTGATAGCGTGTGTAATCTGCGCAATGGCATCTTCGGACGGGCCGTTCTGCAAAGCCTGGTCCAGAATGTCAAGCAGCCCCAGTTGGCGTAGCTGCTCGGCAGGATCGTAGACACTGATCGCTGCTTCTTTGATATCTGCGATCTGATCCAATTTCAAGCCGGGCTGGAAGGCATCGGTCGGCTTCGCGGCCGAAGCAGGAGTAGCCAGTAAGATCATGTTCCTTAATTGCGTTGCGTGAGGCGGCAAGCTCTGGCACAGCAGCACATGGTTGGCAGACACGTAATCAGGGAAATCATGCCCCAGGATGATGAGGAGCTTTAGGACGGCCTGGTACATTTCCTTGGCGAAGATCGAGAGCTCGAGCGGCTTCAGCAGCTCGCCCTGGTAAGAGAGCAAATCCCGAAGGATCTTGGTGTACGCCTCCCAGCCCGCGTTGTTAGCCATTTGAAGCATGGCTGGCTGGAAGACACGGTGGGTGACAAGTGTGAGCCAGCCAAGGACGAAGCCTGGGTAGAGGCTCGGCCGCAGGTCGTAAAGACGCTCGGCAAAGCTAAGCATGAAGCGATCACGCTCATTTTCTGGCAGCTCCTCTAGAGAGTGAATGCCGTGGAGGAGGTAGGAGAAGAACCGAACAAACACCCTTGAGTTGAAAGCGTCGCCACGCTTGACGTGGTGGCTATTCAGCACCAGCACACCAAGGGCGAGGATGGAATCAATGAAAGCAGCGCGAGCCGTTTGTCCGTCGGCATTGTCTTCGTGGGACTGGAAGAAGATAAGGATCATCTTGCCTAAAGCATCAATAGCCTGGTACGCCTCCGTTATCGTTCCATTGAGGTGAACAACATGCTCGAAGCGGTCCACAGACTTGTCGATGGCTAGGCGTGCAAACATGAGGAAATCATCAGTGCTAACAATGACTCCTCTGGAGCGCATCTGCTGTACAAAGATCGTCGACGACTTGGAGGAGGAGGCGGCAGGGTTGTTGCAGAGGTGAACCCATTCGTCAAAGACATACTCCATCTGGTCCTGACGGATGGCGAGGATCTCTGCCGGAGTAAGGCCTTCAGGCAAGTCCGGAGGAGGGGCAAGGATCTTGGACTTGAGACTCTGGCCTCCTGGAACATCCGGATTCTCACTGATCCAGGCCCATGCTTCCTCCAAACTGCGGACAAAGTCAGCATAGAGCGCAAGAGGGCTCTCACTCAGCAGCGTAAGATCCACAAGCTGCTCGAGGAACTCGACGGATCCCTCTTTGCGTTGCTGGAGGGCCATAGACATGGCCGCATCAATGCTTCTCCAGTCGAGCAGGTCCGTGCCGAGCAGTGCTGCAATGAGCGAAAGGTTGAGGAAGTATTCCGCTGGTTGTTGATGGAAGAGGCTCCTGATCTGCTGGCTCGTGGCCGGACCGGCAATCTTGCGGAGGGTTTCGAGGACATGGACGAGACTTTCAAGCAAGAGGGTATCGCCTGGCTGTCTGAAGATCAACTGGGCGATCTGGGTTGCGGCATATGCTGCAAACTCTTCAGACGTCTGCTGAGTCTTGATAATGAGTTGCACAAGAGCGTCAATGATGTCCAGGACTTGGTGAGCGCGGGGCAGTTCATTGAAGTGTTCCTCGGTGGCACCAGTGGCGGCCGCGGTCAGTGACTCCAAAAGCTTGTTGACTCTGTCAGCAATGGTCCTGGCATCCACCTGGTTAAGCCCGGCTTGACGTCCATTTGCCAATCCGCCACTTCCCTGGGGGTAGTGCTGAAGCTGACCACCGAGGTGAGGAAGCGAAGGTGTCTCCGCAGGTGTGGGAAGGGCCGAAATAGTGTTGAACTGATCCCCAAGGACTTCATTTGCGAGAGACCTGGCATCCGATGTGGAGGCTGCGTGGGACGGTCCTGTCGTCGAAGCGACTGCCCTCGGCTGTCGGGCAAAGTCATCGTAGATAGCCATTTGCTCCGCGTTAAGACCAGTCATGCTTGGGTTCAACTTGAAGGGATGAGGAATGGTCCAGGCCCAGCGAGTGAGTCCAGGATCCATATATGGCTCATTCGGACGCTGCGCACGATGCCGGCGTCTGGCTTCAATTTCAGGTTGAATCATCTCCTCGATCTCCGGAACCGCACGATCTTCAGCCGACTTCTCGATTACGCTAGAAGCGAGATCCAAATTCGAGTTGATGCAGAGCATGATAATACCCTCGGGCAGCACTAGACCGATCTCAGCCGAGAGAGCACGAAGGTAGTTGGCCATGTTGGAGCGAAGGGGTTCCTTGGACGTGACCAGGGCAAGACTGCCCGCAGTTGACTTGACCATGTTGATCGCCGCGTCCCGCACCCGGTTCTCATCAGGCTCGGTGGCAAAGTCCTTATGGATCATTTGCTGTGTGGCTATCGCCGCAATGGTCACGGACCTGTCAACCACTGGCTGGATGATCTCCTGCAGGGCTCGCGTAACTGCTTGAGAGGTAATGCTGTGCAGTTTGGCTTGATCAATGACTTCGGTTGGCGGGATCGAGAGGCTGGCGGAAAGGTCGGGGATCGGAAGAGAGGCATGGGCGGGGAGGCCACCCGCGACACTACCCATACCGTTAATAGAGGTGTTGTCGTAGGGCTCAAGCTCTTGCCCATTCAGATCAGGAACTTCCTCGACAGGAACCCGGTTGAGAATCTCGCCAGACGGCTCAATGCTCTTGTGGTCCAGCTTGAGGCCCTTGCACAAGACCTCAATCTCGAACTTCAAGTTCAGCTTCAGCTCGGCGTTGTGGTACAGCTCGATCAGGAGATGGATAATGTCCATCAGCCAGGGATTAGGTGGCTGGAAGACCTCTGATGAAGCTCCTTGAGCGAGGACCTTGCAGACGAAAGGTATAACAATCAGGAGACGCTTGGTATCATGCGCTTCCATAAGTAACTGTTTGAAAGCGATATTCTTATGCTTGATGGGCTTGTTTCTCGCAAGCGTCAGAAGACCGAGCCAGCCACCCAAATTCTTCAAGTGCGTCCTCTCAGTTGAGTTCTGCAGCGTAACCTCGGAATTGAGCATTCTCTGGACGCTGACATAGGTCTCCCTCAAAACCTCGGCCCACAGTGACTTATCCTCAAACATCTTTACCAGGTCAAGGTAAACTTGATGGTAGTTCGGCTGCATCTTGGCACGTTCCTCAACCAGGTGGCTAGCGAACCACTGCTGATGCTTGGTCTCCAACATGTCGCGAAGGTCCTTGTACATAGTCTGCAGTGTAGTTTCAGTGAGGTTGTTGAGGAAGAACTGAATCTTGCCCTGGGCCTCGGCGGTTGGGTCCTCATAAATCACCCCCGGTGGAGGCGGATCAACGTTGACCGACGCGAATGGCAGTGGGTGCTGCTCCGAACCGTGAGCCTCGTCAAGGTTACCGTTTGTCATGTTGTCGTTACCCATGGTCGGGCCAAGCGGTAAGGTGCCTCCGCGGGCGCGCATCGTCTCCTCCTCGTGCTCACGAAGAACATCCTCGGCCTTCTTGCGGGCCTCCGTATTCTGAAGACCCGGGATGAGCAGTAGCTGCGTGCAAAACCCTGGCCATTCGCGTAAGCGAGGTAGGAGTTGAAGAAGAGCTTGCAAGCCAAACTTGTACATGGGCTCCTGGGGTTGATGGTCCCGGACAGCCTCGAGGATCATGCCAAGTCCGATCTTGAGGGGCAACTCCGAAACGAGCTTGTGAGAGATGATGCCGCCGAAGAGCACAGCCGTGGTGGCGAGCGCCTCCAGAGGGTAATTCTCATAATGCGCGTATTCATCGAATAGGCCGTGAATCATGCAAGCAAAGGTGTCTTGTTCGAGAGGATCTCGCGAGTGCTTGTACTGGTCGAGAACCTCAACGATGGTTCGCACCGCGACTTCGTCGCTGTACATTTTCTTGTAGTGCTCCTCCATTCTAACATTAGCAGCCTGGGGTAAGGAATTTCCATCACGACCGTTGGCGTCAATAATGTCATCGAACCCTTCGCCGTAATTGATAAGCCTCGGGTACGCCGTGATACATTGCCGTTGGACCACAATAAGCTCCGGGATCGGCGACTTGGGCAGAAACTCCTCCAGGATCTGAAGCATGGCAGACACTGTCCGAACCTGCAGGGTGGTGCTCTGCTTAGGGGCACCGGGCCCAGAACGCTGATACTGCAGTTCGAGATTCGCCTTGATCATCAGGAACTGAAGAAGGGCCGAGGCCATCTCGGTACTCCGTTCTGCGTTCTTCTGTGCCCACTCCTGCAAGTCGAGGTAACCCTCGGCGTGGGCTAGAGCAGTGAGATCGAACCCAAAGCCATTGATTAGATAGACAAGCTCCTCAAGCCAGCCTTG